TTGTGTTTTATAATTGTGTGGTTTTAGATTGTAATTAGTGTTGTGTAATTAAAGTGTCAATTTTGGTAATTCAATCGGCAGTTTTTAATTGTCTCGAACCCCAAGCTCGTAACAATATGTAAATAAAAATTTATTACTAATCTTAATATCGTAATTACCGACATGTTTGGCTTTATATTACCGAGTTTTGATAAACAATAAAATTCAATATAGTGGTTGACTTCCTTGACTGTAATACCTACTTATCGATGTTTTTTTCTACCCATATTGGTTTGTGTTAACAATACAAACTATTAAAAAATGCTAGTCTGTTAACAACCAAAGTCACCGACTTTTGTTGTTACTGTTGTTATTGATTCACAAGATTAGAGCAACAATACCCAGTATTGGCTTTTTCATATTTGTATTGGAAAAACGCAAACGAAGTTATCTGTGAGTAAGACGAAAGAGTAAAATTATTCCAGGGTTAGTTACGTAACATGGTATTTGGTCGAATCCACCTTTAATACCATATTTTTATTACACGGTTATTTAATATAATAATATTATGGTATTCTTACAAATTAAAGTATTAATGCGCTGTACATAGTCAAACTAGGCTTCACAAAACAGTTTTTTAACGAAGTATATACATTTTAGAGCTGCAGATATATATATATATATATATATATATATATATATATATGTTAATCTTGATCACATTTATGGGTGGACCATTGTTTCCAAAACACGTTTTCGGTAAATTTTCTCGATAGAAAAAAATCATAAAATAGCCATTGGAATTGAATTTCTGGCAATTGTAACTGTACTATTTATAAGCAAATCTTAATAAAATGAATAACAGTGATGTAATACATAATAAATAATAAGGGGAACTGTTGTTTTTATTTATCGATTGAAATAAAATATTTGTAAGTATTAATATATTTAATGAAAAATAGCTCGAACGAATCGATGTTTCGCATCGCGCCATCGTGCCATTTTTTTTTTTTGCTTCTCTTTCATTTCTTCGCGGAGCGACAGTGATCGTTCAGGCTGGAGGTGGGCAAAGTGTATCATTTTTGGGATTGGAACATTTGCATCTTGATCACTGAAATGTTCCGAAACACTGATATGTTTCATTTGGCTCATTTGTATCATCGCCTCAAAAGATATAAAAGAAAGAATGTTCCGAATAGGTACATTAAGTTGCGTCGCGGGCGTTTATTACTGACTGATCCGTGAAATATTATGTGGCAACAATGCTGAATAATATAAGTGCTTAGATTATTTATTGTGTACCGTAATAAGATTGTATATAAAATCGATACTCCTTCATACTTTAACAAAAATGTCACTATGTCAATTCATTATTTACAAAAATGTCCATTTACACAAAACAGCAATGTCTATGTACACAGAATTTTCTCGCAAATTATCATAACTCTAAACTTTATGATGAAAAGGAAGAAAGTAAAATCACAATAATCACTACACAAAGAAATCCTAAACATAACTTAGTAAATAGTATGTTTTCGTAAACAGGCGCTAATGAATATAAACAATTTGACAAGTGCCGCATCAACGTAAAATGACAACTTTGTAATGCAAACATTACATACAAAAAACGACCGTATAGTATTTGATACATAAGCGCCTTAGTGGTAATTTTTACGTGCATGAATAACGTCAACGAAAATCCGTACGAGTTGAGTGATACACTTCTTATTTGTTATCTCTATCTGACTTGTGTGGATTATAATTATTTCGCCCGCTCACTCGCCACTCGTGAGTCAATAGTTAAGTTAATCATTGTCTCAGTCTCTCTCTCTCGCTCGTGGCTCAGTCACCTCGCAAGCGACGTGTCGCGCGAAATGAGCAAAGAGCAAAGTAATGTTTCACTGTTCCAGATACATTTGAAACATTGTTACTGAACCAATCTTTTGTGTCACTTCAGTGATTCGTATCAGTGAGTCGTTTCCGTAAAGAGATACACACGCCTAGTTCAGGCATGCTGCTAGACGGACCTGTACCAATTTGTTTCGCTCGCCGTTCAAAAATCATTTACGTATCTGTTTGTTCTACCTAGTAGTAAGCTACCTAGTATCTGCATGATACAAATACTTTACTAATGTCGTCAAGTTATTTTATTTAGGGTCATGCATTTTATATGATTATAATTATATCCGGTCTGATATTCAAAGAAAAACGGCACATATTATGTAAGCAAAGATTTTTTTTTTTACCTTTTAAAGATAATTTTAGCACTTTAATGACAAGTGAAACTATGTCTCATTCCACTGTAGGACATAATTTAAAACTTCAGTGAATCGAGACTTAGTTTAACGAGAGCTGCGAGTTCTTAATGATAATAATTTAAATATTTATAAGTGTTGATTTTTACAGTATGAACTATAAAAAAAAAACTATGGGTTGTTTTGTGTGACAGCCCTATGCATTACTGATTGTCTGTACGAAAACTTAACAAAATTCTGTGTTAAATTTGCCTCGTCATATATACAAAGAAATAAGGCTCAAACAACGATAATAGAATAATAACTAGAAAAATTTAATAATTAATAAGAATAGAATAACCAATACATATGGCGGAGCCTTGAACAACAAGGGGTCCAGAGCAACTATATAGAAATACTTAAGAGTATATACAAATCTAGCAAGACCAGTATTAAACTAGAATCAACAGGAGAACCATTTCCTATCAAAAAGGGCGTACGCCAAGGCGATCCTCTCTCCCCTGCGCTATTTAACGCCGTACTCGAGCACATCTTTAGACAGCTAAACTGGGACCACTTAGGTCTGAACATTAATGGAGCTCGCCTAAACCATCTAAGATTTGCCGATGATCTGGTGCTTCTTGAAGAGAATCCAGCAGCAATAGAACAAATGATGCAGAGCCTAGCAAATATAATGAGAGAAGTTGGTCTGGAAATCAGTGCCAGTAAAACAAAATTAATGTCAAACTCAAGGGAAATAGACGTTATGGTAGATGCCAACAAGATCGAATATGTCAAAGAATATATTTACTTAGGACAGATAATATCCCCTTCAGATGAAATGACAAAAGAAATAAACAGGCGAATAGCCCAAGGACTGAGAAAATACCGGTCACTGAAGGAAATAGTGAAAAGTAAGGATCTAGGCAATCACATAAAAAAGAAAACATTCGAGACCTGTATTCTACCAGTTCTTACTTATGGCTGTGAAACTTGGTCAACAAAACTTCACCATAGGGAAAGGCTAACAAAATGCCAACGTGCCATGGAAAGAAGCATGCTAGGGTTAAAAACCAAAGACAGAGTCAGGAACGACGACATTAGAACAAGAACAAAACTCACAGACATTCTTACCCGGATAGACGTCCAAAAATGGAGATGGGCTGGACATTTGCTACGCCACCCCATTAACAAATGGAGCAAGCAAGTCACTCTCTGGCAACCACGTGATGGCAAAAGAGGCAGGGGTCGTCAAGTCAGGAGATGGGAAGACGACTTGAAACAGACAGCGGGACCATTCTTGTTGAGAGTAGCAAGGGACAGGAACCATTGGAAGGAATTGGAGGAGGCCTATGCCAAAAGGCACACCGAACTTAGGGACCTCTTGTAACCCTATGTTTAGGAATAAAAGGCTATTATTATTATTATAAAAATAGAATAATTCAACTAAATTGTACCTTAAACTGAAGTTTAAGGTACAATTTAGTTGAAGTTGAAAATAATTACAACGTGATGATCGAAAAATGATTGTATCATTACCTGCTTACAAAATCAGCTAAAGGCTAAGTTTTTGCAAACATTAATTGCATTCAAAAGCACTATAAACAAGATTTAACTTCAGCTTCATTTTCCATGCAATAGATTTCAATATTTTATGGAAAATTTTGATATAGTCAAAAATGTTCAAAATTCAGGCAAAGTTGCAGCAGTTTACCCCATTTTCTTTCTTTATTTATTTTTTATTATGTCTCTAAAAGTTTAAAGAAAATAGGACTAGATTTATCATTATTCGATGAAATGAAGTGAACTGTTATCTATATCAAATTATTTAGCAAATATTCGTATCACAAACTTTAAAAACTAATACTTAATGAGGTATGAATACTACTTCTTGACAGTCACACGGTACATAAGCGAGTTGGATCCCATTTGTAATCCCAATTTTATATGCTGATTAATGAAAAATAAAACCATCGAGAAAATTACATCTGTTATTGATGAAAATATTTCAAAATCATGAAGTGATGGCAGGATTTTGATATTGCCCTGTAGCGGCGTCGTAAGAATCCACTACCGCCTGCCAAAGCAGACCCCATACCATCCCGTGAGTATCGTAAAAGATGACAGAGAAAAATGAAATAGGAGATAGGCAGCAGTATTTTCCTGATAACAACTCATAATAATAAAAAAATTGTGGATGTCAACCCACATGCTAAGAGAGAGAACTATGGCATATATTCGCCTTAAGAGGCTATCTATGGAAAAGATCTATGAAGGATCGAGAAAAGAGGAGGCAGACCGCAGTCGCGCCGCGTTTATTATACTACCGTAGCAGTGCCCTCTGTGTACAATCTGTGAAGCAAATCCGTGCAACAGCAAAAGCTGCCGCGTGGCTCTACCACTGTTGCAGTAAAAGAAGGCCAGACCTTCAAAAGCAAAAGGATTTCTACGTAATAACTTATAAAGTGGGTACTAATACATAGCGTATAGTAGAATTAAAACCCCGAATTATTATAATCTCTTTATTTCTACATGCGTCAGACTAGGCTGTATAGTCATAGACCTTTGTCTATCTTAATTGGCAAATTCTAACAAAAACAATAATATCTATGTTTGGTCGCCATCGCCGCCATTTTGCGTTGCGTTTATCCCTTGCGTTCTTAATTCATGAATTGTAGTATAAGTTTACTTATTACAATCTGTGATAGTTATAAGTTAAAATAATATATTCAATCATAAATCCTTATTTATTTGTTACCTTCTTGTTGAGTTTGTGTTGTTAATACAATGGGTAGAAAGAAGAAGAAGGCATCCAAACCGTGGTGCTGGTATCCTTTACATATTACATCCAAATGCTATTTGACCTTCGGAAATTATAATTGACCTATTTTCACTCTATTTTTACTAATACTTATAGCGCTAATGATGTCATTGCACAATTTCCTTAGCATAAAATTCAGGTATTGTAACAGGGAATTTGACGATGAAAAAATTCTGATTCAACATCAAAAAGCGAAACATTTTAAGTGCCACATATGCCACAAGAAATTATACACGGGGCCTGGATTGTCAATACATTGTATGCAGGTATGTTAGTTCTGCTAACTTGGCACATGCCCCGCCCGCCCACGTCCAGACTGCGCGTTACTCTTTTATTTCGCACGATTATAGGTCGAGATATTTTTGCTCATCGTTCATGCGTCATAATTTTGCTTCTTTAATAGTAATTTGTAAATCTCTGGCCTTTAAATCTATATTCTCGATTAATTCCACTTAATTATATCTTATTTTCTTTCAGGTACACAAAGAAGCCATAGACAAAGTTCCAAATTCATTACCAAATAGGTCTAATATAGAAATAGAAATATATGGTATGGAAGGTATACCACCAGAAGATGTCAAGGAGCATGAGAAACAGAAGACAGGTATAAAAATATTCTTCTTAACCTTCAGCAATTGTTATGGATCATAATGTATGTACCTACATTTTGTTTTTTAAGATTTGCTTGGGACACTGTAGTGTTAGATGTTAATTTATGTATAGTTATATACTTAGTGTTCCAGTAAAGGTATGTCTATTTGTATTAGTATTCTTATTGTATTATTTGTTGTTATCTGTATTTGAATTGTTTAGGTGGAGGCAAAGGGTCTGACAGTGATGAGGATGAGCCAGCTGCCAAGAAGAAGGCTACTCCAGCATTGGTAATTCTTTTTAACATTAAAGTTGTTAGGACATGCATAACAGTAAATCGACTACATGGTTTTTTACAATTTATGGATGTTTTTAATTGTAGAACCTAACAGTGAGGTTTCTTTATTTTTACTTTGTAAATTAGATACTTATTAATTTTCGTGTTGTCTTACAGGATAAGCAAAATCCAGTAAGTTGTTTGAATTTGATTAATAATTTTTTTTATTCCATCCGTCCATCCATTAAAGTCCACTACTGTACATGGCCTCCCCGTAGATTGTCTCATAAGGGGGATATTTGCTATAGTTGCTACACCTGGCAGGTGGATTGGCAAATACAGTTTATTTTTAGTGTCACCTCTTACTAAACCTATGGTACGATATAGAGTAGTGGATATTACACTGCAACTACAAGGTCATTTATTTTTATGTATTTTAACATGTACAAAATTCTTCTTTCTAATTGTTTGATCATAATTAAATTCTACTACGTGTTCATTTCGAGTTTGCCGTTGTCGACCGTTACGACGTCACAGCTGACGGTATCGTAGACGAAAAAAGTCATCATGTTTTATGTTTTTTAGTATTCATATTTTCAATAAAGTTAAATAATAACGTGTTTGATAAAATAAAATATCTTTTGTATGACGATGATATAATAACGTGTTCGATAAAATAAAATTTTTTTTTATAGTTTTATTTTACATTTTAAAAATATTTTAAATTAAAGATTTTCGAAATCGCTTGTTTATGTGTCACTGTCATCACTCCATTCTGTGTCACTGTCATCAGTCTCTCCGCCCACTGAAATAATCAATTCTCTTTCGTTGAGTTCTTGGAACCTATCGCTTGCCCAATATTGTTGCCGTAAACGGTCAATGTGTTTTACCTCTTTTTTCCAGTCCTCTACAGAGATACTATTAATAGCTTCCAGAGTGAGTTTTTGTATTTCTTTTTCAGACTGGCTTACATTTTTATCGGCTACTTTTTGCTTCACTAGATTCCACACGTACTCGATGGGATTCGAATCACATTGGTACGTTGGTAGGCGTAAGACTTCGTGTCCATGACTTTGGACAATTTCGTCAATTTCATATTTTTTGGTAGGCTTCGAACGACATACTACATAGTATAATTCTCGCTTCGTCATCTTTGGGTCAAAGGATATACCATTTTCCTGCAACCAATTTTGCATAGCTTCTATGCGTGCCACTGAAGTCGGTGGTTTATCAATCTGGCGGCTGTGATACCATGCATTGTCAAGTACAAGAATGCTATTGGGAGGTAAGTTAGGTAGGATTTTTTTTCTGTATATACTTTTTGAAATTATTTGCGTCCATTTCATTATGGTAGTCCCCTGCAGTGATTTTGCATTTATAAAAGAGTTCAGCACCTTTGACAAAACCATTCTCGCTACCAGCATGGACCACAATTCAACGTTGTCTGGGATTGTAATTTTTTTTACGCTTGCATCAGTTGCATTTTGCCAGCATTTTGAAACGGTATAGTGGCTGTGTATCCACGTTTAATCCAAATATATGACTGGTTTTTTATAGACTCCCTGTTCATCATTTTCACGTAATCTCCACAAGTAACATGCTCTCCATGCTGCTATCTCCGGTTTCTGAATAAGATATTGTCTTATATTTTTACATTTTGTAAACTTATATCCAAGCTTCGTTTTTATAATTTTCCAGAGAGTGACTTTTTGCCCAGGAAAATTGAAATCTTTCTTTGCTTCTGCTAATATCTTGTGCAGCGTAGGATCTTCCTTTTTAACTGTGTAGAAATGGTCAATTATGTTTCGAATCTAACACACCATGAAATCATCTATTTCCAACCTCTTTGTGGCTATTTTCCTTTTTTTCGATGTTGTCAATTTTATTTCTTGTGTACTTGAAGTACTGGGCTCAGGTGAGCTCGTTTTAATTTTTTTAGCTTCAGTCTTTATATTTCTTAAAGTACGTTCAGATATACCAGTGGCGGCCGCAGTTCTCTTGATAATGTTATCAAATGATTTTAATAGCGCTTAGTACTTTTCATTTTCCAACAACTTAATTTCTGGCAATACTTTTCATAGCTACGACATCTTGAACATCATAAGGCGTTATCAACTGCTATTCAATCTTTTCTTGTTCAAAGAATGTCATTATCTTCTTTATTTTATATAATAAATTGCGTTCGCCACTGTCCAAGACCTTTCATTATTACTCATTATAACAAAACAAATTAACGAATATCAACAGAAACAAAAACACAAAATCGACAGCAAAAACAGTAACAAACTAGAGAACGTACGGGAGCATGAAAACGGATGTAAGTACACTTCGACGTTGCTATCGGTACTAAAAGGGCGACGCTTGAGGCGCGGAATGAGGGGACGCGGCGGGAGATAACGGCATTCTTGAAGTGAACGACTAGTATTTAGTCAAAAACCAAGATGAGGTAGCTTGAAGAATGATATATTTCTGCCAACATTCCCATTAATGTTCTGAAGACTTATTTTCATGTAAAGAACTACTTCATTCCAACTCCAATACATTCACTTTCTTTATTATTGATTCGAGGCAATCACATTTCACTGGAAAGCTGTAAACTAACAATTATTTTGGATAAGTGTTGGCTTTGGCTGGGTTTCTATCTACCTTAAATTCAGTGGTTGGGTACTCACAAAACCACACGGTTGTCTATGCTAAGTATTATACTATGCTTTGTTATATACCAACCCATCAATATCTACTAAAACAATAAATTTTAACATTTTACAGACTTGCTAATTTTGGTATAAAATTGGTTCTGTTTACAATTTTTTCAGAAATAATTCAGTTATGTCCACTGTATTTAAGAATTATTCCATGACCTGTTTTATAAATTTGTTTTCTTCTTACAGTTGGGAGCAGGTCCATCTACAGTGACACCAGGTATTCTCCCCACACCAATGGGTCCCGTTCCCCCTGGAATGTATCCGGGGCATGCAATGCAAATGAATCACATGATGCCACCTTATATGCAAGCTCCTAGGTAAGAGAAATATTAACTGCCTACTTAATTTACTGGGGTTTGTGAAATGATCTTTTTATTGCAAATTGCTGATTTCATTATAACAACTTTTATATCACATCATAACATGTATATTTAATTTTATGTATGCATGTACAACTTGGCCAAAATACATGACAGGAATGCAGTTTCGGCGCCCATATCCCGCATATATCCCCACACTTCTCCTAGTGACCAATCACCGTTCTGGTGCTTCCTCCCTAGTTCTAATGACGTCTTAGCTGTCATGCGCCTAAATGTTTTGATCACTTATTATAAAGTTACAGCCTATAATATGTTATACTCTTAGGCGCAGGCCTTCCCTCATTTCTGAGATAATTATTTTAGATCAAGGAAGTGTCCATCGCACTGCTCCAATGCATGTGTGTTTGTCTATTTCTTTAATCTTTGAAATATTTTGTTTTTCAAATTCTCAGACATGCCGGTTTCCTTCAGCGCCGAGCATGTGATAAATGGGCACTTGAAATTACATTTAACAATTTCATTAGTGGTGGCGAGGACCGAACATGGATTGCTAACACCCAGTGTAATTTATAGCGAGCACTTAGCAATTGAGCTACGACGGTTATCTCGCCTGTACATCCATGTATAAAAAGTATAATTTGAATAATATAATGATATACCGTCATTGCAGATTTTTGAAAATAAGAGTAAATAAGGACTTTTATTTAAAATTGTCCCAAATTGAATGTGATTTATGGGCAACAACTACGCGTACCCAAGCTCCTCTGGTGCAATTCAATTCACAATTTTTTCACTGATCTATCGACCCTTACGAATGTGTGCGTGCGTAGTAAATTTTAGGTATATGATATTTATGAATGATAATCAGTTAAAATAATAATATAAATAAAAAGAACAGAATGTTTGACATTTTTTAAATTAATTTTGCTTTACCATTCGCCTATGTATTTGGCGTATAATGCAAAATAACCCTGTATCTCGATTTAAGCTTTATTTCATATGTGAAATACCAACATTATTATGCCAACTAATTATAGTTTACTGTATTAGATTACTTTTGGCTTGGGCTGGAATTTCTTCTCAAGACCAATTAAGTTCTCTACAAATTCCTCAAATTTTTGTTACAATTGTTGCAGAATGATGATGCCTGGCATGAGGCCTTTGTTTCCGGCGGCGAGTGTGCCAACGTCAACGCCTAGTAAACCCACCTTCCCAGCTTACAGGTCCTTATATATCTTTCAATTTTGTACTTAATTTAAAATGTATTACTTTAATTACTAAAATGCTGATGATATAATAAACATGGGAATCAATTAGTTTATGTAACTTTGTAATATCTCTAAAACCTAGTAAAGTAACAGCCTATATATCTATACCCACTGCTGGACACATATATCAATTTCGTTCCAAAGTATAAGCATATACAATGACAAGAATGCTTATGATCAAAAAAATATTTTTTATACTGACTATAATTTTATAATGATATCCGATTAATTATTACTATTCATTAATACAAATAAGCCTATAGTAAATTTTTGGATATTTCCTCATTACCAACTATTACCAGTTTTCTTAAATTCACTGTAAGCTCACTGTAAATATATTTCATCTCACTGTATTTTGTAACTTGTTTAAATAACTGTTTCTAGCCATAATAAAGAAAGAGAAAAAAAATAAGATGTATCAAGAGCATCAAACTGCTTGTCTTAAATGGAGTGACAATGCTACGTCCAATGTGACGCTAAAGATATAGTTGATTGCAACATAATGTCCTAGCATAATCTTACACATTCTCAGTTCTGTTACATATATGTTACATGAATTTGTTTATATTCATCGTTGTCAGTTTCACCATGTTGTGTATAGATTTCTATTGGTAGATCCTGATTTCTTTAACAATTGAGTGATTTAAACTTTCAAGGAATGTCTGCAGGTGATTTTATAATGTCATATTGGCTGCATTTATGAATAATAGTGTCTATAATATGATGAGCGAAAAATATGTAAGTAGACGAAATATGTCTTCAATGCCTCTTAAAAGTTTAATACAAATCTTGATACTTGTTGTTTGAAGAAATATTTGGATATTATTTATGCTCGTTTTATATGTGGCGCATTTTGACATCTTCTGCTTTTAGAAATTCTTTATAATTCAAACACTATAACTCACCCAATACATCGAATTGTGAATTTCAAATTTTCACATTAATCATACATATTATACTATTACAATTTTACTGATCATGATTTTGATAGAAAATCCCTTGAACCAACATAACAGATTTACATTACAAATCATAAACATCATACTTACTTGTAAGTTTTACCTCGTAATGTACTGCATAATTGTACATTACACAATATGGTAAATCCATGCTTCAGCTATATTCCAGGGAAGGATCACACTCTCACAGGTACTAGTGTAGCAGCTCAATGTTCCTGTGTTTACCAGATAGCTTTTAACTGTAAAGGGACATTCTTTCATAGTTGCCAGAGGTAACAGCCCATCGTAGATGTAAGTCTGTGTTTATGGGCCACAGCATTCACTTACCATCAGGTGAAATGTGTGCTTGTTTGTCACCCTATTCAAAAATGTGAAAGATAGTTTGGTGATGGATGATTTTAATCAAAACTTAACTCTACAATCATACACTTACTTTCTCACTTCAATTAATGGTTTTTACAAAAATAAATAGTAACATTTCACTACTTAGTCTAATACTTGCAGAACCATGTCTTAACTGCTTCATCAATCACATTTCTGTAATTTTTCATTGTACTCATGAAGTAATCTAATAGTGTCAAAAAGTAACAAAAGAAAAGAAAATGCTGCACATTGTAACAGTGCTCTATAAATTTATATCAGAACAAACTTCTTTAAACAATATTTTTTTTTACTTTTTTTTAAATGGATCTTTTCTTGTATTTAACCTTAAAAGTATCTTTATTTGTATTTATTTTCGTATTTTTTAAATTTCATCAGTAATGCGACAATAAGTGCGCCACCCACAACATCAACGGCAGCCAGTACTTCAGAGCCCAAAGAGAATGGTGAAGTTAAACTCCCTGCTGCCAACTCGTGTCCACTGGTGACCGCGACGGGAGCGGGTTCGAAAATCATACATCCACCGGAGGATGTTTCTCTGGAGGAGATCAGAGCGAGAAATGCTAAGTACCGTCCAAAACCTAAACCGGATGCACCTGTAAACATACCCACATCGGCACCTTCTATGATCTCAGCAAGTACAAGTCAAGCGGAGGTGAGTCTTTTTTTTGAAAAGTGAATTAAAGATATTGCATAACAGAAAAAAGTACCGGTAGTCTGTATCCTCATCACATCAAACCTCTTTGGTATGTTTAAATTATTAATTCTTTGTTTTCTATTGACTTAAAGTTTTTTCATACAGTAAAATATATAATTTATCATAAGAATGCAAGTTATTCACATTTCTTTATTTTTCATTTATATTTGTGTCATGAATACCAATTAAAAATTCTAACATATCTATCCTAAAATATATAGGGAAATGTAACACTGTCATCAATAAAATATGAGCACAGTTGTGGAAACCGGCTCTTTTAATGTATAACTAAATATTTCTAAACATGAGTTTTAGGTCTCACTTCTCAAGCTATAATAAATAGACCTGTGGGGGACTAAGATATATAAGATAATCTAGAGTCGATAAAAAAATTCCATGAAGATAACATGGCCTCGTATTGATGGTATAACCATCTTCTATAAATCATCTATCTATACATATAATAAATCTGTAGAAAAATTGTGTGATCACAATTCACGCAAAAAATACCGAACGAATTTCCGTGGAATTTTGTATGTGGGCAGTAAATGATCGTGATTAACATATAGGCACCTTTATCTGTTTACGGAAGAGTAAAAAAGAAGGTTTATGTTTATCCTTTTTCCTTAAGTTTATTGTCATTATGGCTGCTGATGGTTCTATTAGTCCTAAATAGAATTTAGCTATATGTATATCTATCTATAGAAAAGTATGTGTGTGTGAAAATGAAACTCATCGTGCCACCAACCAGTAAGGGCAGAATATTGTCTGCCGGGACAGCTAGTATGTAAATAATGTATGATATTGATAGCCAATCTTGGCAACTAAACCACATGTTCCCTACTATAAAAATGAAAGTATGTTTTAGTTATAAACTTGTTTCCTGGCCAAGAATCAAACATTGAAAAGGCAAATAGGTATCTCATTAAAATGCTAATAGAATAGGACACTGTTTAAATAATAAATATTAATTGTCTTGAGGTTGTCCTAAACAAAGCAGATATAAGTTTTAGGGAATGCATTTCACCTTGTCCCTTTTTGAATTTTTTAAAGATTCAACTATAATATCTAACATTTCAAAAATGCAATTTTGGAGTAATGAATCATCAAATGTATATGTGATCACACAGTAAACGAGACTAAAGTTATAGAAGAGTGTTTGCTATTTTAATTTTTTTCATGTTCGGTTTGCCTTATACATACAGCAAAGGAGTAAAATAATTTAACATCTGTCTTTTCTTCCGATTATAATGTGAGTGTGTTCAAAGCATAGAGTGAATTTAAACACTGACTTAGTTTCACAAAATAAGATTTTGTTAAACTAAGTCAATGCGCTTTACCATCTTTGGCTGCATCACCACTTACAATCAGGTTGAATAGTAATCAAGCACTAACTTATAATAGTAAAAAAAGTGTTTCAATTGTTACCGGATCTATAACACAATCTTCATTAACCATTTTTAGGCCTCTCCCATAGATTGCCAATCTTGATGCAGATCACAGCACCCAATGTTTCGCACTGACTCCCTGTCTATTTTATATCTGACATAAGATAGTTATACGATCTATTGGATCGAATCTGATCATTATGCCATCTATTGGAGTTCACTATTCCATTCGTTGCCTTTTATAACATCCACAAATGTGGTTTATAGACCCAGAAGAGTCAAAATGCAGATGTGCTGTGATCACTAATAACTAAGATAGAAAGCCTCGTAATCAGTAAAAGCTAAGGCTTATTGGTGATCTTGGTTTGGATAAGAGCAATTTAGTCAGTCTACAGCCATGGGCGCAGGCAGCAGAGTGCAAGGGGGTGCACTTGCACCTCCCTGTCAGGAAAGAAAATACATAGAAAAACTGAAGGTCTGTCTAGGTTGCTGTCCAAATTTGTTCATCGCGACCTTGTCAATAAATTCAGTATTCTTTTCTACTCTTTCGCTGTGAACACTGAGAATGAATGATTCCCGCAATAATGCCAACCATCAACTACAGAGATTAAAGTATGTTTTTGATGAGCGAAATATATTCAATCAAATAACCGCGCGTTTTGAATTTGTCATTATATTTATCTACATAATATACATTTATAATTCTATATTTTATATTAGTTAATAGTAGTGTAGATGTAGATGTGCACCTCCCCGAAAGTAATCCTGGCGGCGCCCATTTCTCCAGCATAGGTGTAGATTAGCTAAATATAAAGCAAAATAAAAAATGGGTTTTCAGTTTTTAACTATCACCAATCACTATTCGAAACACAGCAGTTTATAGAATAGTATGCTGTGAGAGTGTGATCCATCTCATATCTCTCTCTATCTCATCCATTTGTGCGGTAGCTATAATGCAGCTGTGGGGTAGCTCTACATTTAAGGCAGTGGGAAGAACTTGTTCTTTTTTGTTGATAAACAAAAACTTGTATTTTTTGTAGTACATAAACATAAATAAATATAAATCTGTCCCAGAAAGGCTGGCTGAGATTACACCGTAAATCATTTGGCACAATCCTGACACTCACTTCCTTCATGTTGTTAAGTGAACTCATACATGGTCATCAGTTAAGGGTACTTAGTTGGGTCCATGATTATAATGAAGTTGTAGCATGGAGTCGGTGCGAGTTGTGCGGCGACGGCCATGGTGAGGCAGATGCACATGTTGCAGGTGGCGGCGCACATGTCGGCGGCCGTGGCGGCGGCGCGCCAGCAGGCGGCCATGCGCCGCCCCGTCATGCAGCAGATGGTGGGCATGCTGCCACAGCTGCAGCAACTGCCACAGCTGCAGCAACTGCCTCAGCTGCAGCAGCTGCCGCAGCTGCCACAGCCCATGCGCGTGGGCGTGCCCGTGTCCATGCCGCCCGTCATGCTGCCCGTCATGCCGCAGTTCAACATCATGCGCCCACTCCAGCCCGGTCAGTACACCGCATATTATAACTACCGATAGGTCGCTTCGAATAAATACATGTAGGCTCGAGTGATGACTGTGTTGCCGCAACCGGGTTATACTTTTGAACGGTCGAGTGATGCGGAACACTGGGATTGTTTTATTTAGTTAAGTTATTGTTAAATCTGTATGCTATAAAAACTGTAATTGTGTAATGAAATGTGTTGTTTAACACTCGTTTCTATGTGTATTTATTCTGCAGATCGAGATTTTACAGTTTGTGTATAATATATTGGCTCAAATATAATTACTATAATACTAAATTTAAAATATAATTTTATTATAAAATTTAAATATCCAGAAGTATTGAGGCATGAAAATTACCCTCGTGTAAAATATTTTTGACATTGAATATTCTTTAAAGCCAAACTGTAAAATTTCGCAATTACACCTACCCACATATTTTGCAGGCCTGACAGTTGTAACTTAGAATTGTATATTTTGAAAATAATCAAAAGATTCATATTCAGTTTAAAGAAATTAGGACCTAAACTGAATAGGTGTGATTGATTACACTGTAAGAGTAATAGTAACAAGTCTTCTGTCAATCATATTAAGGCATAATCCAATAGAATACCACAAAAGTTTAATACAATACCTATAAAAGCAATGACTTGTTCCTAATACACTGCTGCATTTATAATATACACATTTTCAATTACATTGCCCTTTGTCATGTCTTTAATTACTTAAACATTGTATAATGATAAATAGATTAAAAAGACACTGAAATTATTGTAATAAGTTTAATATCTTAAAAATATTGAAGTGTCTATTGATAATGTTAAAATAAATTTTATTCAAAGATCTGTAGGTGACTTAGACATTATTCATATTATATGAGGTAAAGTTCTCATAGTAAATTGTGAAATAAAAAATGTATTAGGAAATTAGTTTGAAAATTTAATGTTAATTTCGTAATATTATAAATTAAACATGTATTTTTGATGTTTGAACTTGTTCATAAATAAATAATTATATTCATTGTGTGTAGAAAGAAATTAATTACGGACAGCCAATTAAATAAGACTGCATTTTACTGCATTCCCTTCAAATGTGAACTGATATTTTGATATTGTCATTTGTACGTTTGTTTCTCTATTGCATTAATGTGCAAGTTTATTATATTTCACGATCTTTGTTTCATACTCAAAGCAATATTGAAAAATTACACGAAACATATCCACAACATAGACATTACTCATTTTTAATGCTTTGTTTTAAAATTAGAACTGATTTAATTCCAGTTCGTGAAGCTGGTTTGAGAAAAATTAAGTGTGCTTGACAAGGTTTGGTTGTTTTCTATTCACATATTGACTTATGAAAGATATTAGATAATTTCACAATTGTTTCTCTTATGTGTACGAATTTTATTTTTGTCTTAAACCTGCCTTTTACAAATTTGAATAATTTTCACGACTCATTTTAATCATTAAAGAATTTTCTTTGTCCAATCAGATTAGGATTGTAGTGTTTGCGAAAGATCAGTTTCTAGATATTATAAAAGTTTGTCATTTGACTTCAGTGGTTATTTTTATTAGTTAGTATTTGGGTAATGGCGATAACTGTAAATTAGTTATATTTTTATCAGATTTACACGATCTTTTTGTACTGTGCATTTTATTTTGTCAAGATTGCATATCGGCGTGGAAAATGGATAAGACAATTGTCACTGTTTTTTTTAATAATAAATCATAAATTTTATTTGCGACTTTAGTTTCTATTTTCCACGGCTTTAAACCAAAATCAGTAAAGTTATTTATTAAATTATCAAATATAATATGATGCATTGCTTTAAGAGAGCGGCCCAGCTCTACCTTTATTTGAGTTATGCGAAGACGGAACAAGAGTCGATTTCAGAGCAGCCGGCAGTATAACCGCGCGGATTGGCACTCGATTCTAAGTAAGGTCTGCAGATGGCCGGGCCGCAACGTGATAAATGTTCATCTCATTCAATCTATTTCTCTCTTTCTCGATATAATCACACATAACAGCTTATCGATACTCACACCTCCCTAACACCCACTAACGCCGGGACTGGCCCGCCACTTACGAGTCCGACGTAGGTCAAGACATTAACCGTGACTTCGATGTGCCATTCGCATAATCGGAGCGACGGAACGAAAATGAGCGGTAATTTTATTCACAATCTTAATGGATTTGCTTACTGTAGTAGCTCTTATCTTATTACTGTCTCGATTTTCTCGTAGTGTCATATAAAATGTGACTCTGTCGGTTTACGGGTGGGTACACTAATATTATATATTTACGTACAAGTAGTTTGTCGCTTTCAAATGTGCATGAACCGAAGAGTTTAGTCGTTGGCTAAATTGGACACCACACGACCGTTTCGGATCGCAAGCAGGAACGTGCATGAGATACGGATACGATTATTCCATATTCGGTATTTTAAAAGTGTGATTTTTTCATGTGAATTCATCCTACCTGTGTTCCTTCGCATTGGCGTAGCTGGGGAACGACTTGGGTCGATCGATTCAAATCTCTCAAATTGTAATAATTTTCTAGTCTATATATTATAGGATGAGTGATACATACAATTACATCATACCATCATTCGTAAATTTTCAACAGATTGATATACTAAATATTAGTACATATTACACACAGGAAACAGTTGTCAAATGAAAGGCGTCATTTAACTCTTGCTATAATAAATAGACTATGACATCTCTTTTATTTTTTAAATATTTCTTGATTAAACAAAAACGACGACAGAACTGAGCAATCGATATAATCGACTCGAGTCGTCCCCGAGAGCGCTACACCAATGCACCTTCGCTTATTGCACTCTGGTCCGTGAAGGCGCGGCGCGGCGGCGGGAGGGTCGGGGTAGGGGATGGGGGGAGGGGTGCTACGGCGTAGCGCGTCCGCCGCGCCGCGCCGGCCCGCTACGCACTGACGCGCGCCTTATGTGCAGGCATGCTGGTGCCGGGCGGCATGATGCCGATGGGCATGTTCCCGGGCGGAGTGCACGGCCTGCAGGTCATGCAGCCGCGCTACCGATAGCCGCCGCTGCCACACTCTGCCACAGACTGCAATTCGCCACCCGCAGCGCGAAGGTAGGCGCCCGTTCCATTACCACGTCCACTTGAACGGTTGTGTCCGACGCCTGTATGCTAAAAACCGCGGTGACGGTACTAACGAAAAGGTAAGACGCCGCGCCACAGAACCGTGTACGGACTAGAACGTGTAAACGCAACGAGCGTCGCAGTCGCGGCTCCGTGTCGGGCGCGGTTGCCAGGTTGTTGGTGCTGAACTTGTTAATTTAGCCGGACATTTTGCTACTAGTTACAAGTAGTGTAAGATATTTGTTGTGTTCGTTCTTTAATTGATACGAAGTTGTAAATAAATAAAGTGATAGACGGGAGCGTGCAACGACATATGCAAATTGAACTTTATAAAACTGTAAAATATTATAACGATGTTTTTTTCATAAATATAGTTGCATTGTATTTATATGCGAGATGTTAAAATATAGATAAAATGTCCGGCTAGAGGGCTACATCTGGCAACTTTGGTCCGGGACAGGTGACGCAGTTCGCCCGGCTCGGCCGCGGTTGGGCCGGCAGTTCCCTGCGACGATACCGCAGGCGACTATGGCTCCTCCCACAAAACTGAGCCATTCTCGGTCCGCTCTCGACACAGGCGTTTCATTTATTAATACTGAACGTAACTGATAATAATAAAATATAGTCCAATGTAGAATTAATGTAAGTGCAACACTGGTTCAGAAGCGGGCCGAGAAAGAACTTGGATTGGCTCCGTATTGTGGATCGGGCCTGAGCTGTCACAACTCGCGTTGTTGGATTGGCGGCCCCCTGTCCCTCAGCCATGTTAACCCCACACCGAGCTCAGTATCGTCGGTAGTGAATATTCTTAAAATTCAAGTGTTCAAATGTGTGTAAAACAATAACGATGATACGTTAATTATCTGCCTTGAATTTTTTTCTTAATTTCCACGTGAAGTTGTGACGTTTGCCTATCTTGTAGAATTTTGACACTTTACTCAATAAATGCTATGGACTGAATGCTCGCTTTTTATTTGTTACCTGTTATCTAATTTTGGAAAGCCAAACACTACTCCCATAAAATTAAAAAATGCTTGTTAAATATTTCATTATAACTACAATTGTATTTTTTTGTTTCATGCTAATAATGTATGTAATTTGCCTGTTAATTATATAAAAATAAATTGTATTGTCTCCTATTAATGTTTCTTACGAACATGCATGGATTAGTATGTATATCACATTTTAACTGTACTATCGAATGAGTATATATTATAATAATGTAAAACTATCCGGCTATCCAAAATTAGAACGCATTTTATTGCCCGTCCGAAATACCGCAATTAAATGAAAAAATAATTTATATTTTTTTATTAAAGCCATATTATATTGTATTACAATTAATAAAAGTCTCGTCCGAATACATACGTAACACGATATATTACACTATCACTACTGGAACTGTCGCCAAAAGGTAATGACACTACAGTAGACACCTGCATGTAAAACAGTTTTTATTATATAACCAAATATTATCCCAATTATATAACAAACTCTTCGGATTAATACAAATGAACTAAAAATAACACGACGTTAGTAGTCTATTCAACAATACACCAATACCTAATAAGAACAGTTCGTAATACCTATTAACTAGTATCACCAAATAAACTTGTGTAAAAAATACAACAGATTTTGTAGTAAAACAATAAGTTTTCAACAAACGCCTAACTTTATATTTATGGCAACCAACTAATGTTTGGAAAAACGTAGAATACATTTGTACATATACACGTCCACGTACGTACGTAAATACAAAAATTGTATCTAAGCTAAGCGATTCGCTATTTGGTCTGACAAAACGTAGATAATACATAGTAGTTTGTAGAGGGTTAGTTTACTTTGTAGTAATGTAAAGACTATAAAATTTGAGCTTCTCGAAAATCACAATAAAACAGTAATTATTTCATCCTAAAAAATTCTATTTTTAAACTGCCAATATCAGAATGCTAGATCTCTAACTATGCTAATTATTATTAGAGATATGAGAAACAGTTATACGATTCTTCGCAAAGGGACACCAAAACGATCACAACCCTTTCGCAAATATGTTATGCCCACATTTTGTACGTTTGTAATATATGAATAATAATTGAATACATTGAATAAATAATAGGTCATTAGAAAATTTTATCCAAACCAACTACTACCCCCTTCTATCTATATAATATTAAAAAAATGCACATGGAAGAAATGACACCCATAAAATGTAATAAATCAAACTAAACACCAGCGTACAGTACGTGTAAAACTTAAAAGTGTCTCTGGAGTCGTACGTCCATAAGGCAGCGCAGAACGCCATTTTAAAGAGTAAAACGAGGGTTGCGGGAGGGGGCTTAGGTTATTTCTATGTCTGTAAAAAAATATATAATAATTAGGTGTATCCACAGTTAACTGTTTAAAGGTAAAATTACTGTATTTACAGTAAATAAAAGTATTACGTTAAGAATTATTTTTTGATCAAATAAAAATGCCTTAAGCAAAAGTGCTCCACTCGAGCGCATTTAAGTTTTACGCGTACTATGTTATAGTGTTTAAAAGAAAATCTTACAATTTACGGGTTCAGGTAATAACATAATGTGCTCAGATATAAAATTCATCTATAACTTAAAATTTGGAGATAATAAAAACATTACAGAGGATATAATCATAGGATTTTCATCTATCACTTGTAGTCTTATTATACTAGAATCAAATCGAATAATTTACCTTGATCATAACTTACGTGAACATCTTTTCGGATTATTCGTCCAAACGATCAGGTGAAGGGGTTATGTTCCTGAACACATCTAAAGACGGGGACAGCGACCGCATTAAATCCGGGCAAGGCGTGTTGGCACGCGTCATACTCTCGAATCTCTCCCTCATAGCCGCAACATGACCAGCAATAACGTTTTGCCTATCATCTTTCAAATCTTTGCCCTCGTCATCGTGAACCCTTTCTGGTAATTCCATATCAGATAGCAGCGATACCTCTGAAGATGCTGTGTAATACATTTCACTAATTGGCTCACAAAAAACCGCCGTTTGATCAGTGTCAGATGTAACGTTGTCACTTTCCACAGCTTGCTCTACTAAAGACGTATCGCTCCATTTCTCAGCTACGTAAGTTTCTACCCTTTCGACAGCTACTTCCTCAGGGCTTACTAATTTTTCAGGGTTCACTACGTCACTGCTTTCCACGGTCTCTTCTTTCCAATTTACATCTGTACAATCTTCGTATTCGGTTTCTTCGTAACCTGAGGTTTTCATGGTCTCGCACAGTCTGTTAATCGCGTCGACAACTTCTTTGAGATCGCTAACATCCTCTGTAGGCATCGTCACTTGTTCTATGGGTAGCACGTTTTGGTTGGTTTCTTCCTTTTCGGCGGCCGTGGCAATTGTGTTAGCTGGGCAGAGAAGTGCGTGGGCAACGGATAATAAAGCGTGGGCGGGGTGCGCTTCTGGCACCAGGTGTGCCGTGGAGGCGGAGTGCGTCCCGTACGTCCCGGGGGCTGGCGCCCCCCGCTCTCGCTAGCAAGCGCTAGAAGTGCCCGACCAGCCTTCCAGCGGAACTTTCAATGGCGGCAGAGGCGCTTGCGCTTTATTCACTGCTGCAATACAACACACATTAATGAGTTCATTATATTTCGTAAATGTTTGTGGTTAGTAAAAGTGTCTTCGAAAAATTAACATGCCCTTGGTTGCAGAGTACGATTTTTTTTCTTGATTATTCACACTGGTAATATTTATAAAATAAATAATAATCACATAGATAAAAATAGGAAAAGGCTGAATTTACACTGAATCCAAATTTATAAGTCGTTTTATTGCATTCAAATGATAATAAACTGACTTGTGATATTATCACATGCACAACATGCAAAGCATTAGTTTTAATTGAATGTCCATACTATTCACACTTTATATTATTCATCTGTTATTTATGAGGGTTAATACAATATAGGATTTAAGTGACAATTGCCCACGTACAGCTGGGCCTTCCAGGAAATTTTGTTAATAGGCCCGTTATTCTACTATCAATGAGTTTAAACTACACATTGATCACGGGTTAAATAAAATTTGAATAGACGACACTTACCGTACCTGTGCATGTAGTTTGCTGTTCCCCATTGCATTAGTCTTATTTATTCTGCCAAATTTATCTCTCAGTTGCAACAACGAACTGTTTCGTAACTTGATTCATGTAGTAACAAACAATAATGATGGACCATGTGCCAAGAGTATATTTAAGAATAAAGCTTTTTACGTATCAATTATATATGATCCAACTATGATAGAATTATTATTTTAATTCTAACAAACATTAAAAGTTACGGATCAATTTACTTGTAACCAAATATGTCAAATTGGAAAGCCTCTAAATAAAATTCCGACGGGATTCTGTTTCATTTATAACATACAATAAGAATAGAAGAAAACAGCTTAGTGTTTTTCATATTAGCTCTGCTACTTTTAGATAAAATATGGCTAATAATTGTACAGTTTCATGCTGAAGATCCCTACAACATGTAATTCTCACATGAAGCGGTCGGACGACACAAGTTATGTTAGGTTGGACAATGAAATACTGGACAAACGATTCAATAATGATTACTCTTTTATTATTAAAATAATAATAACTATAAATATTAAGCATCGTACATCGTTTTATCACAATACCTACTGCATTTTGGTAGAAACAAAATAGCTTTCATTGAATCTCTTGACTGAGGAAATGCAACGACTCAATTATTGTACTTCTATATGTTTCTACGAATAATAAGCTGGAGTCATTTATTTATTTAAAAAGGAAAGTTTAAAATTATCAGTTAAGAGATCCAATGATCAGGTGTAGTAGTAATACTTGCAATGTGAAATAAAAAGAACAGGGCGTCGCAGTCACATAGTACACAAATTTGCGTAATGGCACCTCACTATATTATAAGATCACAACAACATTTAACTAAATAAACGATTGCATGTTTACAAATTTGCAAATATGTGCAGGCTATAGGCGAATATACGTATCAAATATAATACTTTCAAAATGTACTCTACAAAAATATCTAACATTCTCAATTGAACAATATATTACCAAGTTCTTTCGGCAAATAAAAATTTTCTACATTATAGTATACTGGATACAAATTAAAAGAAATGCTACACATGCGTTGTATTCAATACCTAAGCTTTTATTGATTAATAAATAACCACACTAAGATGAAATATGGATCAGTAATCTGGCATTTAAAATATATTATGATTATTATAAATTACAATTATTACATACATTAATTTATATAATTATGAATTTTTGATCATAGATAAACTTGTAGCTACAAAAATAGTTTGATACGTATAATAAGCGCTATAACCAAAGAGAATAAATATATTTGTTATAATAAAGTAAATTAAGTCGATACATATTATTAACTAAAAAATATAATGACTCAAAATAAGAGAGTAACATCTATAGTACTACAAACTAACATTAAGTTTGTCAACATTTGCCCCGTTACTACTTTAATTTATGTATGACTGAAAATTTATGATTTTTCAAATGATCATGACTCGCATGACGTAAACCATTGGAAATATGAATTTTGATTGGAGAAAGCAATTATGAAAACATCAATAACACTGTCTTAAGGAAACCAGCGATTTATCAAATAATAAGGAATGCCAATTTTTAAATGCAATAAAAAAACGATAATTCCTGTGTCTAGTTTCCATATTCATTCTTAACAATGTATTTTTGAAAACTACATAAAATTGTAAATAAAAATGAGCAAAATGACGAGGTATTTACATACATAACACAAAATTCCTTATTCTACGCTATTCAATAAAAATAACATCACATATTTTTTTATGTAAGGCCACTTTTACGAAGACATTTGACATGCATGCAATCATGCACCTAGACAATACAGAATATACTAAATATATAACTAATAAACAATCCCAAGTTACGAATTTGGTTTTAAAAACTTATTAAGTTCACTCCTTTAAATTCTTTATGCCTTATTCGTTTTGCCTTATTGTAGCTAGTATGACTTGTACCTATTGCATTGTAAAGTTTAACTATATATACAGTTATAAATCTAATTTTTTTGTATACTGTATGACTATCAAGATGTTTTGTGCGTTTCACTTATGTTAAGTAAAACTAAAATAAATTTCTTAAAGCCAAAAATTTTAGGCTAAAACAGTCGGTTGCTTTTCAGTCGAATATGTTGTAACAAAAGTCCATACTTACTATTTAATATTTTATGTTATGTATATTGAATAAGTAGGTATGATTATGCCATTTTAGACAGGACACTATTATTTGGTACAAATAATTTCTCGTGTCGACATTCAGGTCGCTCTTCAAGAAAAAAATACGTAACAATATCTATGTGATTACGATATTCGTAGTATTCTAAGTGTACATAGATTTTGATAGTTTTAAAGCCATTGAAATTATCGCTCGAAGCATTTATTTGAATTTACCCATAGACAATTCGTCATCGTCGATTAATATCCGGTCGTCCCATTGGTAAGTCGGCGCGCGTCGTGTTCACGCGTACTTACCGGCGAGCGCGGCGCTGCTGTAGTCCTTGGCGATGCGCAGGAAGGGGTCGGGCGCGGGGAAGGCGGCGGGCGGCCGGAACAAGTCGGCGAAGCGCGCCTCCAGCTCGGGCGCGCGCATGGACGAGCCGCGCACCGGCGGCGCCGGCGCGCCCGCCTCCTCGCCCGCCGCGCCCGCCCCGCTCGTCGTGCTCGTTATGCTCTGTTCACACACATCCATTTCATTTGCCTCTAAATGCAACTCAACTAGGACAACACAACTAAGGCCCGTATTAATAAACGTTACTCAACAACGAACTCAAGTTGAATGAAAAAATGGTCAATCATTTGATACGCCATTGTTACGATATCAGCATCTCAAGATCGTTGCTAATTAATAAACACATAAAAACAGTATCTCAAAACGCTGTACTTAGAAATACTGTTGTGTGACTTGCACTCAAGTACACACACAAGTTTCGTTTATTTAATCAGTGTCTCACTCAGCTGTTATTGTAAACCTAAACCGCATCTTGAGATATGTTTATTAATAAGATCATAACCTCAAAATTGTACTCGAGTGCGTATACTTGAGCCGAGTAACGTTTATTAATACGGGCCTAACTGTTGTGTCCGGGTACAGACCAAACGAACGCAAGCGAAGGTTAACGCTTTCACATTTGCTCTGCCGTGCGTATACGACGACAAAGACTGGGCTTATGATAAGGAAGTATTAGAAATACAATTTAATGAGGACGAAGAGAATACGCATGAGGTAAACAGAACTCCAGAAGGAAACAGGTTCTTAATTCAAAATTTAAGTAAAAAGTATAATAAGTATGTAAATTTTTACTAAAAACACGAAACAATTTGACATTCAAATTTAACAGCAGGGAGATAAATTTTTTTATGTGAATTGGATTTCGAAGATGTTCCTCCAAGTGGACGGTTTCGTAATTCGTCTTAAAAACTAATCCAGCGAAACTGAAAAAACGTTTGTTAGGGACACTTGATATAGACTAGCAGATGGTGACAGAAAATATTCTCCCATTTTCTCTTGCTTGCCTTTTTAAGAATCGATTGTCATAAAGAAAATGACTTCTCTTTGTGTAAAGAATTTTAGTATTTTTCCATTACATTATATTGCATGCTTTTGTAACATAACGTAGTTGAAACAAATTTAAGCTATAATAATTGATGGCATGCAATTCGCAACGGCCGACGGGGCTCAAAGGGTTACGTAGAAATGAAAAAAAAAATAGAACATTTCATTACAAATTGCATGCCGTTGTAAAAAATTAGTTTTTTTTTATCTCAAAAATACTCTACGAAAATTGGCATGCACCCCAAACAAATTTATTGTTTCAACTACGTTATATTACAGAGGCATGCAATATAATGTCACGGAAAAATACTAAACTTCTTTAGACAAAGAGAAGCCATTTTCTTTATGACGTGCAAGCGCGCAAGGGCTCGTAACCCCTCTATCTTTCATATTTTAGGGTTAGTTATCAATTCTTAAAAAGGCATGCAGGAGAAAATGGGAGAATATTTTCTGCCACCATCTCCTAGTCTAATAGGTGTCTGAAAGATATTGGCGTACATCTCGGTAAAGCTAAAATATATTGAACTCATTTTTCACACACAAAGGCTGTCCTTCATGAAGATTTTTAATTTTTTTTATAGGATAAAGGTGACAAACGAACACACAGTCCACCTGATAGTAAGTGGTTGCTGTGACCCATAAACATCTGCATCTATCCTCGATTACGAATGAAAATGCAGATGCGTTGTTTTCAATGACTCTTCTGCATAGATTTGGCTGAATTTGAGCGATAGCTTGTATTATGTTCACCTTTGGGGCATCGGTCGATTGTGGTTTGTTTGCATAGACCTGCGACTTCAAGAAACCCCACAAGAAAAGTCTAGCGGAGTCCAATCGCATGACCTTGGTAGCCAATTAACACATCCCTGCGAGAGATAAGCTTACCCTGAAATCGCTCATGGAGAATGTCAATCGTGGCGTCCGCTGTGTGGCACGTAGCACTGCTGGAACCACATGTCATCTAGGTGCATATGGTTCAATTTGGGCTATGAGAAATTGGTTATCATCGTTTTGTAGCGCTCGCCATTGACGGTGACCTCCTCACCAGCGTCGTTTTCGAAAAAGTACGGACTAATGACGTCGCCGGCCCAAAATCCACACCAAACGGTAACTTTTTGAGGATGCATTATCACCTGGTGAACCTCGCGTGGGTTAGTGTCGTCCCTTATACGGTAATTCTGCTTATTAACACAGCCATTCATCCGAAAATGCGCCTCGTCGCTAAAGATGATTTTTCGCCTAAAATTGGGGTCATCTTCCAAACGAGTTAGCGAAAACGGCGCAGTTTATGGTCATGAACTTTGAGCTCCTGGGTCAGTTGGATCTTGTACGGGTGTAGGCCTAAGTCCCTACGCAAAATTCGCCAAGAAATCTGCAAAAGGGCGAGGAATAGACTGCCTCGGGTTCTGCTGTGCACTTTCACGAACCGCGATGATGTTTCCGGCCGATCTTTCGTTCCTTAAACGTACGAGTGTTGGCTGATTGTTTACCGAAACGGTCGTATCAAATTTGCCCAGCATACGTTGAAGAGTCGATTGTGAAGGGCCATCACGTCTACCGTAAAACGCGCGCAACGTTTGCACTAACGAACACTCATTTTGATATTAAAGCTTTAGCAATATTGGTAGGTATATAAAACTTAATCTTAATAATAGGAGAAATTCCAATTATGGGGTGATATTACTGAAGAAAATAGGTAATAAATACAATAAAATTCGTAAAATATATTTTTTTAGAATGGAAATTGGCAATTATGTAGTGAAGTTCAGGGTAACTGCTATTGTTTCTGGGCAATGAATAGTTGAAGTTCATTTTTTAAGTACAAAAGTTGCAAGGAGAACATATTCTTGAATGCCACAGAGTTATTAAATAAAAAATCGTTATTAGGAATATTTGCTGTAATTTAGAGAAGTTTTACACTCATTAATTGCATATAAACGAACACCCAAATTAGGAACAATTACTTGTTCTATTTACGACGTAGTAATTCGCAAAAAGTAGGACACAGATTCAAATCAGTTACTAGCGTTGGCGTTAGTTACGGACTCAATGTGTAAATCTGTCTTGTATCTAATGACAACAAACCTAATAATCAATAGATTGTCAATCTACTAAAATATTATCTTCACCTTGTTCTAACACTCTACCCATTTTTCACCCTTTAAACTTCGGTATCACGTTATCCACTTTCATAAGTCACACCACACATTTTTATTACAGTATCTAAGAACGGAACTACCTTTTCAAGATAATTCTACCAAGAGGAGCCTTAAATTGAAGCTGCCTTTTCATTCGGATTTAACAGTACACTTATAATACATGAAGGTAATATTGCGTAATATATTTTTGGGACTTAAAAATATATCTTTGAGCTTGAATTAACCATACCACATTGATTAAATATTAAAATCATTTGAATAAATAACTTTATAGCGCTAATTAATTTAATCAATGTGTACTACAAAATTAAAAATTTGTCACCATTGACTTCAAAGGTTGGGGGGGATCGAAATCCTACACAATAATATTTATCGCGGTTATGGGAACTCCACAAATTATTAAGCAAATTATGTTTTTTTAAATAAACTCGACGCAATCAAGCACGTATCAACGTTACACTAAAATACGCATTTTGAAAAATCTCATAAAACTGGGAGAGGGGGGTGTGATTGGGGCGAGCCATATCTCACGACGTCTCTGGAATAGAACTACACAAATTGCAGGAAAGGAACGGAAGATTCAGGCGTCAAAGAGTGTCCGTCCATGAAAGAATTTGTCACTTTAAAATGAAATAAAACAAAACCTGGTCTTTAGGATTTTTTTTTCATTGCATCCTAAAATGTAGAATGCGAAATATTCTTTTAAAAGTAAAACCAAATGTCTTTCACTGAGACGAATACGCTCATTTAGCCGGAACACGATATTTTTGATCATCACTCTTTGACATGTTGCTTGCGAAATTGCTTAAACTTGGTGGAGGATATTTCTCTTCAGCTATAACAAATTTCCTATTTTATTCACGTAAACTTTTAACTTCATATAATTAATAAAATCAGGCGTTACTTTGCGGAAATCCATTATATAAAAGCTTTTAAAAAATGTTTGCGAACTAAAAATTTTTTAAAAGCTTTTAACTTCAGAAAATCCTATAAAAGGAAGTCCGCAGGTGTCAAGTCTGGTGACCTGGGGGACCAGGGGATGTCTCTAAATCGACTAATGACGTTTTCTGGAAAAATGCGCCAGACAACATTCATATGTTGATGTCTCGTGCACGAGATATGTGTGATACGGCATATCTTTCTCTCCAATTTTGGCTTTAAAAAGTTTTCCAGCATAGACGAATAACTTTGAGAAGTCACAGTAGTTGTTCGATGAAAGTAAGGCCCTGTATTTTGTTTTACACTAACACCCCACCATATAGTTTTTCGGAACGTACGCCAACCTCATTCCAATAACTGGGTTTAATTTTTTGAGTTGTTTGAATTTTGTCAGGATGAAACGACACATATTATCTATCACACATATCTAATTTGATAGCTGTGCATAGTTGTATTTTTTACGTTTAGTGCTGCAGGACGCTATCTGAATGAAAAACTCGGATTTTCAATTGCATCGCGTCAAACCGCTTAAATTAAGTAATCATTGCTTCCTATTTACGTTGCACCTGGTGCATGTTCAATAACAGGCCCTTGATGACGAATACTCCGCCCTTGATGACGAATACTCCGCACTCAACTGCCCATAATGTTTGTGCTTAGACGTTAGAAAATCCACACGACGATCGCGTCTATATTGAATCCCTCTGCCTGCCCGCTTCAACAGAGCGGGTGGCTGTAATCCCAATTTGAAATTGAAAATTCTTTCGTGGACACTCCTTTTTAAATCAAAGTATTGTTAAAGACATATAATTTTATCGAAAACCAAAAATAGACCTTAATTTATAATTTTTAAACTTTCTAGCTTTGAATATAAGGTAACTCTAGCATACGAAATACAGACAATCGTACACATTGAAGTGTAATACAGTTACCGGTACTAAATACGGTTTCCAAAAGGCCTTTTTGGCATGTGACAGTTTTGGTACGGAGGGCGCAGAAAAATGTCAACTGGGTGATGCCAATATGACATCTTTTACATATTTCGTATGACCTTTTTAATAACTGGCTTTACGGCTCTGGGTTCTAGCCCTTCTGAGCCTGAAGTTACAATGTATAATTATTATCCTCCATAGTATAGTGCTTAACAATATGTAGATGCGTCACATTGTGCAGCCCTTGCGAGATTTTGACGGCAACTTGAGCCAGCAGACAGCTAAAAGTTGGCGATGGTATCTCACGGCGCCTAAGCAGACAGACACCGTATCTTGACAATCACATCACCATCAGAGCACTTGTTTCACAGTTTCCATTAATAGTTCACATGCTCAGACCTTTAATACACAAAATCGCACCACTTTTACATATTAAAATCCACTTCAAACCATTATTTAAACAATAATACAGGAGCAGCAATCCGTCGCCGGTCAAGTTCCCGCCAAAACTCCTTTTTCGTATGACATATTTTTATCGCTTAATGAGCTATATAATACAATATTCTTTTAATCATGGACACAGTCACATGACATTTATTCACATCAAAATGATAGCTTTGCGGTAAATTTTTTACTACTCATTCGGAAAACACCTGTCTTCTGGAAAGAACCAGCAAGAAACCTTTTAGCGTTACATATCGAATATACATATTTTATGACATAGCCCCTTCTCTGCCCAGGAATCCCTTTCGATTGATGCCACCTTCTTATCTACTTTTTCCGCAAAGCAATTATTGTATTTATCGCTGTGTACCGGTTTGAAAGTTATGTAGAGCCAGTATAATGAGACAAATAGTCAAGTATTCCATTTTGTGTTAAACATCTCAAGTGTTACCGCATGTGTAACCTTCTTAGTGTGAAGTTAATTGAAGGTGCGCATAGGCAACAATACAGTAAGCTCGTATGTCAGGCTTATATAAAAATATTAAGTGTTAAAAGTACTGATGCAAGAGGTTTAAAGACGTCTTGTTATGGTTTCTTATATTTTAACACGAACACTTTGGGTTGAATAAAACTAATTAGTTAGCAGCATTAACAACATTGAAAGTCACGGGGGAGTCTGCCTGAGATTATGGATGCTGCAAATCAACGGAAACGTCAGAGGATAAGTTAAAAAAGATGGAGATCTCCCCTTTTCCTTCAACAAGAGAATAATCGGGAGTTTTCGCCATGGTTTTTTTATAGAAGAGGGGCAAACGAGCATACGGGTCACCTCATGGTAAGTGACTACCGCCGCCCAAGAACAATTGCAACACTAGGGGAATTGCAGATACGTTGCCGGCTTTTTAAAAAGAGTAGGCTCTTGAAAGTTGTGCGAGGAAGAAAACTTCTTCTAAATCGCACAATGGTGGTGGACCGCCAATCGTCCAGATGGTATGGATGGTATCGCGAGTTTTGTCGCGATGTGCGACGGTAAAATTGAGCGGGTGGAATTAGTCCGAACAATTTCTCAGAGCACTCCCCGTGGTAGATTGCTATAAAATACGCAGAGATGCAACTCTTAACTATGCTCTCTACGCAATGCTAGTGAGTCAAGCCGATCGGAAAGAACTCGTCGACGATTCTAACCGCTCTGCGCTGGATGCGGTCAAGTGGAAGGAGCTAGTAATGGGGAGCCCCTTCCCGGAGATGGGAACGGTATTATTCCATGTGGGGCCGAACCTGCGTCTTGTAAATTTGCAGGCGATGTGCCGGCATGGAATACTGTCACGCTCTGCTGAGCAAGTCAAGCTTTTTAGATGCTAATTTGGCCTTCTCTTCCAACTGACCAAGAAACTGCACATCACTCGATAGGCGATCACTCGTCTTGAAACTGAGGTGATACGACAAAGGGGTTCTTTTTAGCGGTAAACGGGCAAACTTGTGTTTTCTGGGGATTGAACTGGACTAGATTTAGTCGCCTTCAGTCCGAGACTTTGTTCAACAAAGTCTTGATTTCAGACACGAGTTTGTACCGGTACTCGGCGACGTTTTCCTGAGAAATATTGGCACGGCCAGTGTATGAAGCATCACCAGTGCTGTCGTCAGCATAGCAATGAATGCTGGCAGTTTGCAACATATCATTAAAATGCAGAAGAAACAGCGTTGGCGATAGCACGTAACCTTGTGGAACACCAGCGTTAATGGCCCTGTAATCGGAGCATTCACCGTCTACTTACGACCTTGATGCTCCGATCTGCAAGAAATCTGGTGATCCATGCACAATTTGTCGGGAAGCGCATAGGAAGGAAGCTTCGAAAGAAGCGCTTTGTGCCAAACCCGATCGAAGGCCTTCGCTATGTCCAAACTAACGGCCAACGCTCTTGGACTCTACTGCCTCCGTCCATCTATACCTAACTAGGTAACCTAGGAGATCACCAGCTGAGCGATCTCGCGGCGCCAAGGCAGCGGCGCGCAGTGTGTGTGTGTGTGTGTGTGTGTGTGCGTACAGCGTGCGATGTGTACTCACGTTGTGGCGGTGGTGCGGGTGGTGCGGCGGCGGGGGCGGGGGCGGGTGCGGCGCCAGCGAGGCGTGGCGCGACGGCGGCGGCGGCGGCGCGCCGGGCGGCGGCGGCGGACACACGCCCGGCGGACGCAGAGCGCGCACGCCTCGTAGCGTACCTGTGCACACCCAACACTTGTTACACTCACCTGTGCTTATGTCTAATTGGGTGTTTGACGTTGAACAAAACTAGTTTTACGGATTTAAGCGCGATTAATCAGTCTAATTTACCTACTCACCATTTTCTGTTTCATATTTTTTTTGTTATTTACGTGCGACACGCGATAGCATTATTAATGAAAGAGTGGCAATGAAAAGTTAATGCTTCTACTTTCAATCTCTTGGCTAAGTGATACAGACTCTCGCACGCGGATGTAAGGTGCATTTTGTAATGATTTCTTATATTTACGCGAACACTACTCATTTAAATAAAACTAGTTTTACGGATGTTATCGCGTATATTAACTTATTTTATATTCCCGACGTTTCGAGTACTTTACAGCACCCTTGGTCCTATGGTGAGCCCACCCCCCTCCCCCATTATTAAAACATAAAACGCACCGCATTATTATTTTTTTCGACGATTTAATCGGTAGGCTATTTTAACGAAGGTCGCTTCCAAGGCGTGCAAAGAATTATGAACAATAGCGTCGTTCTAACTAGGTTTAAACTCGCAAGTTTGCTATCAGTGAGTGATTCTTTAGTTCTTGTACTATTATTTATTATGTTAAAAAACTTGTGTGAAGTAAACACAACATCCTATTTCATTACACACTGCTAAGTATTTCAAATTAGCAGCTTATGATATTAAAATATATACAACATTTAACATAATTAACGTACATCCTCAGACACCCAAATTAGTATATTAACCATCCAAGAGCGAGTCTCATCCGACACTATTCCGAAGATATCCCGGACGTCAGTCTGAGCGAGATTAGAATGGCTCTCCAGCACCTTAAAAACGGTAAGGCCCCAGGCGAGGATGGAATTACAGCGGAGCTTCTGAAAGCGGGTGGAAAACCGGTACTTGAAGTCCTTCAGAGGCTCTTTAATTCCGTCCTCCATGGTGGCATTACACCGGAGGCGTGGAGCAGAAGTGCGGTGGTCTTGTTCTTCAAGAGAGGTGACAACGCTCTCTTGAAGAACTACAGACCGATTTCCCTTCTGAGCCGCGTCTACGTGCTGTTTTCGAGAGTCATTACGAAACGTCTTGCGCGCAGACTTGACTTGACTTCCAGCCTCCCGAACAAGCCGGTTTCCGAAAGGGCTTTAGCACCATAGACCACATACATACCCTTCGGCAAATTGTACAGAAGTCCGAAGAGTACAATTTGCCACTATGTCTGGCGTATGTGGACTATGAGAAAGCCTTTGATTCCGTCGAAATTTGGGCGGTGCTGCAGTCCCTTCAGCGGTGCCAAGTTGACTGTCGGTATATCGTAGTGTTGAAGTGCTTGTACAGTAGGGCTACGATGACTATCCAAGTACAGAACCAGAGTACGAAACCTATCCAATTGCAGAGAGGTTAAGACAGGGTGACGTCATATCCCCGAAACTCTTCACCGCTGCATTGGAAGACGTTTTCAAGTTTCTGGACTGGAAAGGATACGGTATCAACATCAATGGCGAGTACATCACTCACCTTCGATTTGCCGAAGATATAGTCCTTATGGCAGAATCGCTGGAGGACCTAAGCACTATGCTCAATGACCTCAATAGTGTTTCCCAACGGATAGGTCTTAAGATGAATATGGACAAAACTAAGATCATGTTTAATGTCCATGTCACACCTATGCCGGTAGTTGTTGGGAACACTAAGCTCGAAGTTGTTGACGAGTATGTTTACCTGGGACAAATAGTCCGACTAGGTAAGTCCAACTTCGACCGAGAGGTCAATCGACGGATTCAACTCGGTTGGGCAGCGTTCGGGAAATTACGGCACATCTTCTCGTCAGGTATACCTCAAACCTTGAAAACGAGACTGTACACCCAGTGCGTGTTGCCAGTGATGACATACGGAACTGAGACGTGGTCCTTCACTGCTGGCCGGATGAGGAAGCTCAAGGTCGCTCAGCGAGCTATGGAGAGGGCTATGCTCGGAGTTTCTCTGCGTGATAAACTTAGGAATGAGGATATCCGCAGTAGAACCAGAGTAACCGACATAGCCCAACGGATTAGTAAGCTGAAGTGGCAATGGGCCGGCCATATAGCTCGAAGAACCGACAACCGATGGGGAAGAAAGGTTCTCGAGTGGCAGCCTCGTACCGGTAGGCGAAGTGTAGGCCGTCCCCCCCCACGAGATGGAGTGACGACCTGGTAAGACATGCAGGAAGTCGATGGATGCAGGTGGCTCAGGACCGTGCTTTGTGGCATTCTTTGGGGGAGGCCTATGTTCAGCAGTGGACTTGTGAAGGGCTGTAATGATGATGATGATGTTATAATCATAATACACACACTGACTTTTTAGTTAAACATGTTTATGCATTGATTATTTATGAAATTAGTTATACTAATTGGTGGTCACAGTACAAATCCACGAACGGACACAGTCGCCACACGTAGGTATAGATCATATGAGGGTCTTGCTAGCCTAGTAGGTATTCGCTTGCATTCGAGACGAGTTAACGCCGCCGCCGCTTAACACAACTGTAGGTAGATATTAGTGACGAAAAAAGCCGACAATACACGATTGTTTACGTAAAAGAAATACCTAACAATGAACATTAACAGATGTCAGAACTCCGAGCATCCAGTTGTTTATTTAAGTCTAGTAAACATTTGATTGCAACTTTCCATCACTTTTCAGGCTTTGGATTGTCGATTCTGAATAATTTTATTTATTGATTATGATACAATGTCAATAGGCTCCGGCTCCGTGGCTTAGCAATGAGTTGTTGTGCTAGGGGCCGCGGGTTTGAATCCCGCACGGAACAAGTATTTGTATGGCCTACAAATAATTGTTCCGGGTCTGGATGTTTGTCGTCAGTGGCGAAGCTAGGGCTCCAAATTAGAGCAAGCCCAAGATGTGGCTTTATTGTTTTTAGCAGTTTTATAAAAATACACCAATCTTGATCTGTCTCCACTCTTCAGTTTCATATTGAGAGATGTCGAAGACGTGTTTAACAAAGCACACAAAAGGCATACTACTGCTAGATAGATTTTATGACTATATGTATACCTTCGGTGGCTTTGTAAAAAGCCGTTTGGGTTTGCTTGAGCAAAAGAAAAACATATTTACATATAATAAAATACATGAACAAAAGAAAAGCATGAACAAAGTACACACAAACTGTACAAAATTAAAACAACAAATTATTTATATTCTAAATCGAATCGTCTCTCTTTCTTAAAGAAAGATTTGACTCCATACTAATTGCTATACTATAAACATCGTAGTTATATTTCACTATAGAACATTTTGCCACAGCCGGGCTATTCACAATCGTCTCGGAAAGCGAATTCGACTCGGATTCGATAACTTCTCGCACCGAAACCAATAAACGCTATTCACATTTAACGTTCGGATAAAGGTCACTTAGATACATCCCATAACTATTGTATCGTCATTTAGTTACATGCATTTACGAATTTTGTAGATAAATAGGCTTTAGTGTTTTTTTTAGAGTAACGCCTAAACAAAAACATAATGGAATATTTTGGTGTTAGCCATTGATATCGAATATAAAAAATATATAATTTAACTATATAATAAATAACAAAAAAACTGAGATATGTCTCGTTTCACAAAGCAGCATATATATATGTATGCTGCTTTGTGATAGAAAACTTATAAAAACACACCTTTCACAAAAAATCAGCTTTACGATTAAGTGCAAATATTGAAGTAATTATATGAAAATACGTCTTATCTATAAGTAAATGTAATTAATTTTTGTTACCTACCTTATAATTAAAAGGGTTTATTTATCTCTTCTAATCATCAATATTCGGAAAGTTTTCGCCAGCCTCAGAGCTCTCGTAAAGTTTCCGATGCAAACTGTCACAATTATCGAAAACAAACGTCAAAGAAGTACGGTCACGCCCCATAGAAAAAAACCCAGACCCGACAGAAACGAGACATATCTCAGTTTTTTTTGTTATTTATTATATAGTTAAATTATATATTTTTTATATTCGATATCAATGGCTAACTTCAAAATATTGCATTATGTTTTTGTTCAGGCGTTACTCTAAAAAAATACAAAAGCCTATTTATCTACAAAATTCGTAAATACATGTAACTAAATGACGATACAATAGTTATAGGATGTATCTAAGTGACCTTTATCCGAACGTTAAATGTTAATAGCGTTTATTGGTTTCGGTGCGAGAAGTTATCGAATCCGAGTCGATTTCGCTTTCCGAGACGATTGTGAATAGCCCTGCTGGTTAGAAAGGGAGCGATCGTCTTCTCGAAAGCCTGGTAAAAAGCCCACGCGTGCGAGAGAGAGGACTAATCGCTCAATTTAACTCCTTTTTTATGACAGCAGTATCGCGCAGTAAAGTAATCTGCCAATCAATCAATCAATCAATGCAATCTGATGTCATGACGTGTGTAGAAGAGAGGAACGCGCGGGAAATTTGAAATAGTTTAAAACAGTTTACGAGTTATTTTATTAGTTGATATTATTGATTGAGGATGGAGGCTTCGCTACCGTTTGTCCTCGTGCAATTTAGGTTTCTAAACTGCCTCCACGATACAGGAGAAAATCCTAGTGTGGTGGTAACGTTTTTAAAAAAATATATTCGCTACAAAATGTTATGAATTCGCATAACATTTTAATTGTAATTGTAAATAATAATGAACTGCCAAAAATAAGGAGGCGATAAGACAACATAATTAAAAGACGGCGTGTTTAAAAGATGTGAATCAAGAATACAATAATTTAAAAAATTTAATACTTAACTTACTGATAGCCTAAACTCTCTATGCAACTTTGTACTTGTATTTTTAATACACTTTCCAAATGTCCACCACCTTGTTCAATACATTTTAATGACAGTTTTCTTAATTGATATTTTAATTTAGAGAGCACTTCAGTGTCATTTTCACTATTGTAAAAGCGTTCACTATCCTATTATTAAGTCCTCGGCAATTGTTGTCTCACTAAAACTAATGATTTAATACGTCCCTACAAAAAAAAAGCCAAGAGCGTCAAATCAGCTGATCTCGGAGGTCACTGGACAGGCCCGCGGGCTCTCCAAACTCTGTATTTGTAAAGACATTAATGTGCTTGAAATAAGGTTCATTTTTCTTTATTTTGTATTGAATAACGGACTTGTATTAATACAAATAAAACTGCACTTTTAAAAATAGTATTGCCTGGAGTTACGGTACATTTCAGTTTATTTTGACAGGTTTTACAGGTTTAGTGTGACTGTAATTTACTTAGTTTTAATTATTTTTGGGATAAAAAATGACCTATATTAAAAATGATAGAAATCGATTCAGTAAACGATTCTGAACAAACTACTTTCAGGATGTGCGTTAATTATGTTACATGTTGTATATTCCCCAATTTTTTGGGGCTACACCACTACTAAATGAGCACTAAATTATTGATGCTTCTATTTGGTGATGTATTAAGCGGTTATCGTTTTACGATGTAGAACGCTGCTAGTTTAATTACAAGCTAGCAATTTTCAAATTTTTTATAAAACTATTTTGGCGTGAAATTTAATTTTGCAGCACTAAATTAGCACTAAATGAGCAATATAAATTTAGCAAAAATTTGCGGGATTTTGCCCATATGACCGTTCTAGCTTTATATACATAATTCCCGACGTTAAGGAGACTACAGCACCTATGTTCGGACAATATCACGACGGTACCTACAAAATTTAAATATTATTAACTATGCCCGAAACGTGGGAAATTAAAAGTTAATATTACACGCAATAATTTAAGCGAACTAGTGTTAGTGGCTAGTGTAATGTAATAAAGAAATATTTTAATTAAACATTAAAATTTAATTATAATTTAAAAATTTTATACGTGGTTGAGCCATGCTGCATCTATTAGTAGTATAGTTGTAGCACGAAAGGGTCGGCTAGACCAGGGATGGACCACGCTCTCACAGAATACCAACGTAAAATGGCAGCTTGACACTGCTGTGTTTCGGATGGTAAGTGTAGAGAACCGGAGACCCATTTTACTGGAACAGAGGCATTCCATCTTAGTCCTCACGGGTGACGACGCATCTGCATTTTGATTCTTTATTGAGGTTACATGTAGATATATATGGTTCACAGCAACTACTTACCATCAGGTAGACTGTGTGCTCGTTTGTCACCCTACCCTATAAAAAAAGACTGTAAAAAGACAATGTGTAGTCATATTGAATGACTTATTCGATGAGTAGTATTGTACAGAACAGAGTAACTGTAGTGACAGGGTAAAAATATACACTACCCCATATCGTCCCGTGAAACAAATAAAGAGATGGGCAGCAGCATCTTTCTATTAACAACTTAAAATTAAAAAAAAAACCGGTTGCCATCCCGCTTGCCAAGCGTGACAACTATGCCAAATATTCCCCCTATGAGGCAATCTATGGGGGAAGTCTATGTTCAGCAATAGACTTTAATAAGATGTAACTGTATGTGCATGTGGCAACAATTAAATTCTTGATGAGATATCTATTTAACACTCAACATTTTTTTTTTGCTTTAAAATGGACTCGTAGAAAATGTACTTTTGCCAAGGTGAAGTAATAGAAATTTCCCTTTTATAATAATTTTTTCACAACTTTGCCCACAATATTGTAGATACTTCGTTTATTTTATATTATTTCTCTATATCTTTTTTCTTGTTCTCTCTCTCCCTCTCTTTTTCTCTCTTTACCTCTTACTTTTAAGCCCAAATACTCAAATGTTGCTCAATTTTAAAACAACGTTAAGTTTCGTCGTGTTGTCTCCATCATTTTTAATCAAAGTGACTGTGACACCACGAGACTTAACGACATCTTATAATTGAATAGTGTTCGAGTAATAGGCCATTAGCGATATCGATTATTTTTTCATTACCATCTTCTTAGGATGGTACCTATCCAAATGGACTCCTAGACAGAAAATGAATCACATAGTAAACAAGCAGTGTGAAGTGGTGTGAATGCTTACCGAAGTGCGAAGCGGGGTTCTTGGTGGCGATGTGCGGGTTGGCGGGCGGCGGCTGCGGCGGCCGCGAAGGTGCACCCGGCGGCGACGGCGGCGACACCGGTGGCGACCTGCAGCACGCAAACATTCCTGATGGTTGACTTATGTAAACAAAATCACAATATTTTCTCAGTGTCGCGCGAGAGTTAAAAGGATGATAAAAATCGCTCAGGAGCAACATCATCAAAAGCTTTTTGGAATTACATACGGTCCAAATGTAGCTGCAATAACAGAAACCAAATTTAGAAGAACGATCAAGTATTTAGTGGTAAGCAATGTGTACAAGAGTTTACTCAGTATTTCCATTCAGTGTATAGGACGGAACAAGCCAATCTAAGCGTGACCGAGGCAATATAACGGATAGCGATGTCGACGTAGCTGTACGGGTGCATATCGAAAGACTAGGCTTCAGGATGTGCAACGCGCCTTGCAAAACTTGTAACCAAAGAGGTTCGCAGACCCGGATGGCATTCCGCCGTATATACTCAGGGACAGCCGTTTCATATTCTAAATGTCTAGATAGTGCTATTTTACCCGATAGGTGAAAAACTACAAGGGTCGTTCCAGTTCCAAGGGAAATACAGGATCGCAAATCGACGAATACCAACCCGTTGCCGTGCTTTCATCAGTAGCTAAAGTATTCAAGTCGGCCATGTACGACAAAGTAGATGCCGTGTAGTGGCAGTTAAGAATATCCACTACCCCATATCTTCCCGTGGGTGTCATAAGAGGCGACAGTAGGAAACACGCAGGATATGAGCAACAGCATCTTTCTGATAACAGCAATATTACAATAAAAAACGGCGGGTACCAACCCGCTCGCCAAGCGTGGCAACTATGGCAAATATCCCCCCATGATGAAAGTTACGAAGAGACGGCCCCCAGTCCCCGGCGGCGCCGCTATTCCTGACTAAGGTGGCGATCATGGTAACGGTTGGGCAGCGTGCTAAAAATCTCCAGTGGAGGTTCGATTGCCACCGAAGACGACTCGACCTGGCAACATACAAAGCACGCATCCTGAGGACTGACGAGAAGATCCTGGAGCTGGAAGAAGAGATAGACGAGTTAGAGAGGGGGAAGACACGGTAATCCTCGAATCCGCCAACTTATTCTATTACCGAGAGGGCAACCATCTGTCCCAAGGAGGTATCGGATTTATCGTCTACAAGTCTCTCGTTAACAACGTTGTAAAGATTGAGAGTGTGTCGACGAGGGTTGCGTACCTTATACTCAGAATCACCAAACGGTATTCGCATGAAGGTCATACAGGTTTACGCACCAGCCTCGGCACGTCCCGATGAGGAGGTGGAGGAAATGTATGAGGATATATCTGAGCCATGCATTCCTACAAAACCCACTACACGCTGTTAATGAGAGACTTCAATGCAAAACTAGGCACAAGAGAGAATGGTGAGCGGAAGGTAGGAAAAGGTCGGAATAGGGCCAACTTCATTGAGAAAGAGGGATTGTATGATGAACTCTTTATTCCAGAAGCGGCCACACAGGAAGTGGACCTGGGCGAGCCCCGACGGTGCGACAAAAATGAGATTGACTTCATTATGACGACCAAACGACAACTATTCAGTGATGTGTCAGTGCTCGCGAGGGTGAAAACGGGTAACGATCACCGAATGGTTAGAGGCACACTGAACTTAAACATTAACTTGGAGAGGTCTCGTCTAATGAAGTCAACGCTCCGTCCTTCTCGTGCTCTAATTCAAAGTCCCGAAAACTTTCAGCTCGAGTTACAAAACCGTTTTCAGTGCCTAGAAGATTGCAATGCAGTGGACGATATGAATAACAAGCTCGTGGAAACTGTCCATGCGGTTGGAGCTAAGTTCTGCATTACCCGCCGCAGATGGACACAAAAACTCTCTTATCACACTCTTAATCTCATGGCTGTTAGACGGGAAATGAAGCTACAGTCTTCAGCAGATTTGACAGCATACAGGCAACTGAACAGACAGCTCTCCAAATGCATGCGGCGGGACTTACGCAACTCTAATACTGCTCGTATTGATGAAGCGATTGAGCGGAACCAAGGCTCTAAAGTCTTTGCCAGAGATTTGTGTACCAGAAAGAGCCAACTGTCAAAGCTGAAAACCGATTGTGGCAGCACCGTTTCTAGGACACCTGAGATTTTGAGTGAGATTTTGAGTGAGATTGAGAGGTTCTATGGGCAGCTGTATACATCATGGTTGGAGCCACACGTAAGTGTGAGTAACGATCCAAGAGCGAGTCTTATCCGACACTATTCCGATGATATCCCGGACGTCAGTCTGAGCGAGATTAGAATGACTCTCATTACGAATCGTCTCGCACGCAGACTTGACGACTTCCAGCCTCCTGAACTAGCTGGTTTCCGAAAAAGCTTTAGTACCATAGACCACATACATATACAACCCTTCGGCAAAATGTACAGAAGACCGAAGAGGACAATCTGCCACTTTGCTTTGCGTATGTATATATATGATTCCGTCGAAATTTGAGCGGTACTACAATCCCTTCGGCGGTGCCAAGTTGACTGTCGGTATACCGAAGTGCTAAAGTGTTTGTACAGGAGGGCTATGATGGCTATCCGAGTACAGAATCGGAGTACGAAACCTATTCAATTGCAGAGGTGTTTGACAGGGTGACGTTATATCTCCGAAACTCTTCACCGCTGCATTGGAAGACCCTTTCAAGCTACTGGACTGGAAAGGATACGGTGTTAAAATCAATGGTGAGTCCATCACTCACCTTCGATTTGCCGACGATATAGTCCTTATGGCAGAATCTCTGGAGGACCTAAGCATAGTGCTTAATGACCACAATAGTGCCTCCCAACGGATAGGTCTTAAGATGAACATGGACAAAACAAAGATCATGTATAACGTCTATGTCACTCCCATGCCGGTACATGTTCGGTAAACTACTCGTACATCATATGTCACATCTTCTCATCAGGTTTACCTCAAAACCTAAAAACTAGATTGTGCCGCCAGTGCGTCTTGCCAGTGATGACTTATGGATCTGAGACATGGTCCTTCACTACTAGCCGTATGAAGACGTTCAAGGTGGCTCAGCGAGCTATGGTGAGGGCTATGCTCGGAATTTCTTTGCGTGATAAACTTAGAAATGAGAATATCTGCAGTAGAACCAGAGTGACCTACATAGCCCAACGGATTAGTAAGCTGGAGTGGCAATGGGGCGGCCATATAGCTCGAAGAACCGACAATCGATGGGGAAAAAAGGTTCTCGAGTGGCAGCCTCGTACCGGTAGGTGAAGTGTAGGGCGACCCCCCACTAGATGGGAATGACGACCTGGTATGGAATGTAGGAAGTCGATGAATGCAGGTGGCTCAGGACCGTGCTTTGTGTCTTGGGGGAGGCCCATGCACGGCAGTGGACTTGTGAAGGGCTGTGATAATGATAATGATGGACGACAAAATATTCGTGCAGGTGAATCAGCAGCTCTCGGAAGTACAGCACGGATTTCGGCCAATAAGAAGCACTACTAGCAACCTTCTCAGCTACATGGCAGAAGATGTGCCTGTAGTGGACAGGGGTGCGTGCAAGTCGACGCCGCTTACTGTGATTTTAAAAAAGCGTTTGACTTAGTGGATAACGACGACTTGCTTTAAAAAGTTAGCGGCAGTTGGCTTCACTCCACATTTGTTAAAATTATTTGTCAGCTATATGACAGCTAGAAAGCAGTATGTGGAATATGCCGGGCCATACGTCGGACTCGTATATTACAAAATCTGGAATAAGTCAAGGCAGTAATTTAGGGCCATTTCAGTTTTTAATACTGGTTAACGATTCGTCTGAGGTAGTTAAGGACTCTATGTGCCTACTTATGCTAATGGCCTAAAGAGTTGTTTCACGTCATAGAAACGTTGACAGACCGTGAATAACCACAACAGGAAGTAAACATAGTGACATGGAGCAAGAACAGCCGTTTACAGTTTAACACCTCCAAGTGCGTAACCATTTCACTAGAAAGCGCACACCCATTGTATATAACCATGTGGTGGTTGGTACGCCAATGGTAAGAGTTAAAGAAATTAAAGATCTAGGCGTTCGGCTAAATCTTTAAATTTTTTTGGTAATACCTTCTCTATTGCTGCAGAAAAGCGTATAGAAACTTGGGCTTCATTCTTCGCACAGTTCACGGCTTTACGAATATTATAGTAATCATTAGCCTGTGTAATACTAATGGTAAAAAGCAATCTGGAGTGTAACGCCGTATATGGTCGCCGTACGAAAATAAGTATATTCCAATGCTAGAGCGTGTGCGAAATAAACTTATTAGATACCTATATATGCGCTATTTTGGGGGTGTACCCCATGCGGTATTTTGGTGTGTACCCTATGTAACCATTTATATACGCATCTTTATTTGTTCTGGGCGTTGGCTACAACGAGTTGAGAGTAAGACGAGACTTAGCATTTGCCTTATATATTTTTAAAACGCTTAGAGGAAAATATATAATAATGACATATTGCGGCGCATTGGGCTGTGTGTTCTAGACGAGTACGTATGGAAATGGCGGCGGCCACGGCTGCTGCCCGTGCTGCGCGCCCGGACTCTTAACACGAACGTTACGCATTCTACATTGAAACCGTTAACATTGATCGCTACCAACAGCAAATGATCGATTTACGTGAAAAAAGACCGGAATATGAAAAAACGCAACACAAAGTCATAAAAATTCCAGCTTCATACTTCTACACTTATTTATAGGACCAACGTAAAAGTATAGAGATTTTTCATTTATTCATCATTCGTTACCTATGGGGAGCCTCCCCATGTTGATACATGGGGAGGCTCCCCATAGATTATCTCATAAGGGGACAACAGGACCTCCATGGTTTGTGTTTCGCCTCTTACGACACCCCAAGATACATAAAAAATTAGATTAAGCGGTTAGCTAATCTAGGACCACGCTCCCGCAGAATTACCAGCGTTAGCTAGCAGCATAACGCCACTGTGTTTCATATTATGGTACGTGACGAGAATCAGAGACCCTTTTTACAGGTAAGGAACTATCCCATCTTAGTCCTCATGGGTGACAACTTTGCCTACCATTTGACCCTTAATCGAGAAAAGATATAAATGTCTATTGGCTTCCACTACTAGCATCCACTTACCATAAGGTAGACTGTGTCTTGTTTGTCAACCTTCCTTCCAACCAACCTTTTTTATAAAGGGGAGATCTGTAATCAGCAGTGGGCTCCTGCTGGTCTGAGACAGGCCTGATACCAGTAAACATTAAAATGTATGCGAAGGATATTTTCAATAGCGAATAGCGATACCGACCAAATATAGTAAGCATAATAATTGCACATTTGCACAGTACAATTTGACACACAGTTACTTTAAAGTTGACATGAGTTGAATGAGTATTGCAATTAATAACCGGTTATATATTGCACACATTATTATTCGATGACGGTGGTGACAGACTGGTGTTCTCCAAAAATATAACACTACGATTACAAATTACGGTATTGTAACAAAACAGTTACTTTTTATAGTCATCACACTTCCGATTTCCTTTAAGGACGACGGTATCGTTTGTAACAATAATAACAAAATTTAATCATGTTTAAAGCGTCTCCCACACGGAAGCGGCTTGCGGTGGCGGCCAGTTGTATTCGCTTGCAATGCAAGTGGGTCTGCAGAGCCGTGCGGCCATGTTGCGGCGGCTGCCCGCGGCCACGTGCGCCGCCTCCCCGTCACCGTGAGTGTGCGAGCGCGCGCCGTATCGTGGCCGCGCGGTCACTTGCAAATTTTTACAACAGGCCGCGTGTACCGCGTGAAAAAGGGCGTAATAGAAACCGTGCAAAATTGGCCGGTACTTTATGATACTTCACACCTTGATTACAAAAGCATTAGGATTAAAAACAAAATATAGGATAATATTGCTGAATATAATAAGAATAAAAAGACAATGACGATGTCTTTTTATTCTTGGCTAGGCATGTTGACTGACGTCCAATCGTAGCACAGACACCACAGCGAATAGAGCTTCAGGCCGCTACTGCGACCACGGTGGTGTGTTGTTGCAGCGGCTGGAGTGGCGGTACGAGGTTGGCCGCCACCGCAAGCCGCTTGTGTGTGGGAAACGCTTTAAGTTCACTAACAGTCCTTACCACCCACGAACTATGTCTCATGTCCTTGGTTTATATTTCGACTGGTCCCGTGTCTCTGATTATTTACCTATATATATATTTTTTTTGTGTGGTACAACTACATTGAAGTATTGGAATGAATCTGTTACAACCAAAAAGGACACACACACGCACAGGATACCAGAGTAAAATAGCAGAATATTACTGCCGTGTTCCGTATGGTAAGTGACAAGAACCAAAACCCCTTTTGATTGGTAATACAGTATTCTATCTTAGTCTTCAAGAGTTGACACTTGCATTTTGATCCCTAATCAAAGATAAATATGTAAGTATATCTTCATGGGCGTAATGTAGCTACAAATATGTTAAATGTATAATTATTATACGAACATGTATGATGTGGAGGAGGCCTGAGAGGTGTGTCAGGATCGTGCCACATGGAAGTCCATAATCTCTGCCTACCCCTCTGGGTGACAGGCCTGAGTGTTTATGTGTATGTGCATTATTATCTCATAAGTCATTTTTCATAATAATATATTTATACTTTATTTCGAGTATAGCAAATGGAATCTCTCCCAAGACACTATAAATATAGCATTTATCTATATTTATCGCGTCATGGGAGATTAAATATGTACTCCTATTAATAGATATTATACTACACTTTTTTCAGAATTTTAATCATATAAAACAATAATAAAAGCTATACGATACTGTAAATACTGCATAATTTCAAAATATATTCTATATCACACTAGCTTGCTAGGCACACTTTGTTCTTTCCACAATTTCTGACGACTTGTTCATCATGTTCCTTAATTATTTTTGAATTCGCAATAAAAAATGTTGAGGGTCTCTTATCGGGATGAAAACTATCCATATCTCTCTCAAGTTGGAGCAAGTAATACAAATTTACAAAATTTGATTAAAATCGGTTGCGTGGTTTCGGAGTTCATAGCGGACTAACAATGTGTTGCACTTTTGCACGTAATTTTTATATATAAAAATTTATAGAGATTATATAATCATATATCATAGTTTTAAAATATGTAGATTCCAATAGACATCAAGTATACATGACAACTTTTTCAAAGTATGTGCATGATGGAGTGCAGGACTACGCTTTGTGGCATTTTGAAACGTGGTAGAGCCATGTTGCAGCTATATTAATAGTATAGTTGTAGCACGAATGGGTCGGCTCGGCCGGGGAAGCACCACGCTCTCACAGAATACCAGCGTAAAATAGCAGTTTAATGTTGCTGTGTTTCGTATGGTAAGTGTAGAGAACTGGCGACCCATTTTACTGGAAAAGAAGCAATCTATCTTAGTCCTCACGGCTGGCAACGCATCTGCATTTTAATTCGCAAACGAAGATAGATGTAGATGTCTATGGGCCACAGCAATCACTCACCAACAGGTGGACTGTGTACCCGTTTGTCACCCTTATTCTATAAAAAAAAATCTTAGGGAGTCCTGTGTTCAGCAGTGGACTAGTGTAAGGTTGTAATGATAATAATCATAAAGATGTGCATGATCCGTAATGTAAAAAGTGTAAGATATAAGTGAACCACCACTGTCTCATTTCGTCATTTTTGAACAAGACTGATACTACATAGGAAACTTCAAGAGCGTTTGTAAGCTAGTTTGCTCCAACTTAATTTAAAAAAAAGATCAACAGTCAACACGCAGCGTGTCACCTGGGCACCCTCATACTTTGTGCGCGTGCGGCAACCTTGTCGTTGAGCACGAGCTTATTGAGAATTGCAGGTGCTAAAGATCGGCGGTAGTCACTAACCATCAGGTCCGCTAGTTTGTTGGTACCGTTATTTAAAAAAAAAGCAGTGACCTGGGCACCCGCATGCTCTGCGCGCGCGCGGCGGCCCTGCCGTTGAGCACGAGCTTCTTGGGCGGCGGCGAGGGCGCCGGCGGCTTGGGCGCCACGTTGGGCTTGCCGTGGCTCGGCCGCGCGCGCTCCGTCAGGTCCGACGTCGACAGCGACGCCAGGCTCGCGCCCGCCGGCGCCGCGGCCGGCGCGGTCGTCAGCGACGTCATACTGCCACCTGGATACGTCAAAAACAAGTTTGCCTAGATGTCTCCTTGCGCATCTTCAACATTCATATTTAAATAAGCTACAATTTTTTGGAATGCGGTGACAAACGAGCACACAGTCTACGTGATGGTAAGTGGATGCTGTGACCCATAGATATCTACATTTATCTTCGATCAAGAATTAAAATACAGATGCATTGTCACCCCTGAGGACTACGATGAAATACCTCATTTCTAGTAAAAATTTCATACGTGGTAGAGCCAGGCTGCAGCTATATTAGTAGTATAGTTGTAGCACGAATGGGTCGGCTCGACCGGGGAAGGGTCACGCTCTCACAGAATACCAGCGTAAAATAGCAGCTTAACACTGCTGTGTTTCGTATGGTGAGTGTAGAGAACCGGAGACACTTATTACTGGAAAAGAGGCATTCCATCTTAGTCCTCATGGGTGACAACACATCTGCATTTTGATTCGCAAACGAGGATAGATGATGTCCACAGCAACCACTTACCATCAGGTGGACTGTGTACTCGTTTGTCACTCTATCCTATAGAAAAATAATCTCCGGTTCTCTACACTCATCATGCGAAACACAGCAGCATTGAGCTGTGTTATTTTAAGCTGGAATTCTGTGAGAGCATGGTCCTTAACCAGTAGAGCCGACCCATTCGAGCTACAACCACAATATAGCTGCAGCGTGGCTCTACACATGAGATAGGTAATGTCTCGATGGCTCCCTCTAATGATGTCTTATTAAGGTAATTGGTACGATCAATACAACAATATAGGGGGGATGTTTGCCACAGTTGCCATGTTTGTCAGGCGGGTTGGCGACCACAATTTTATTATTTTGAGTTGTTATCAGGAAGAGGCTATAGCCCAAATCCTGTTTCAGTGTCCCTCTTTCACCTCTTACAACAAAACCCAAGGGACGATATTGAGTCGTAGATATTCTTACACCGCCACTACACGATTAAGTTCACGCGTCGTATGTATCTGGCCCATTAGCTTAAGGCCTTAACAGTGGTTGAAATGCCTAAATCTAGGATATTTAAGTAAAAAAATCTCAATAACTGTTCATTTAATCCACAAAGAAAAAATACAGGGTAACAGAAGAAGATTTGGTAAATGTTTTTAATTTAACAAAATTGTATTTTTGTCAACCCCTTATTAGAAAAAAAATCCCCAAAGATTACCTATCTTTGTCATATTTTGCAAAATTTCTCCAAAACGGCACAAGCTTTTTAAATAGTTCTTACACTAAAAAAAAGGTCTTAAAAATATTAATATTTTTAATTGAGAGTTTTATTTTTATTACCCGTTTTATAAGAGAATATATCATTTTTCCCTGAAATTGAATATATTTACGCGAGCGCGCATGCTCCGTCGCCATGTAAGCTCTGTCACAGTCCGTTTTCGGACATCGTCGAGGGTGGACCGCACGTCGGTGTTGGAGCGACTTCGTTCAAATATATATTAGTTTTTTAAAAGTTTATACTCAATTATAAATATTTTTATGACTAGAAATACTTAATTTAGTTAATATCTGTACACTGGTAACTGTAAATATTATTTTCTAAATAAATGAATTTTTAAAGTGCCCAAAGAAGAAGAAATTTTTGCGGCGACGTTGATTAGTGAAATTGAAAAATGCATTTTTATATAATTTAGATGTGGAACGACGAACATGCTCTCGTTACTTAGATTGCGATAGTTTTAATACCTATGTAATTTTATTGTTGCATATTTTTATTAATTAGTTGATAATGAATTTTATAATTATGTATTACAATAAAACGCTGTTTTTATAAGTATGACTTTATAAAATATTATTGGAGAGGGAAATAAAGATACAGATACTTACATTTAGGTACACTGTTATCAAATTAAATCAAACAATTTAAATAAATAAAAGAATGGTGCTTACCTAAGTATAAATAACTATATAAAGACATTCTTGGGTTTATGGTTTTTTTTTGTTAGACAAACTATCATCTAAAAAATGTAAAAATTTTAAATTGGAGAGGGGTTTCTCTACGTGATAAAGTTAGAAATGAAGGAATTTGCATTAGAACCAGAATAACTGGACATAGCTCAACGGAATATTACAGTGAAATGGCAATGGGCTAGCTATATAACTTGGAAAACATATAAAAAATAGGAAGAAAGGTCCTCGAGTGGCAACCTCGTACAGGTAAGCGAATTAGTACTCAACCTTTATTCCTCTTCACGTATTCTCATACGCTTTTCTTCACACATACACACACACACACACACGCACACGCGCGCAAGCACGCACGCGCGCACCAACACACACACACACACACACACACACACACACACACACACACACACACAAATAGGTCGCAAATAATACTTACCTAGTACTATTAGGCAAGAGTGAATAGGTTTTTGTTAAGTCAGTGCAATTCACCATCTTAGACTACATAACCACTTACCGATGGAATTGTAGTTGCTTTACTACTTGCTGGGTAAAAATAGTAAAAAAAAATATACCCTGTGAAAGTTTGCATTTAGATATAATTTTTCTAACCAACCATAAAAATATGATGAGAATATGTATATAAGTATAAAGGTTGCCTCACACGGAACAGTAATAATATAATATTATATCTTCCATTATCTCTGAAATCCGAGGTATGTTCATATTAAGAGGCTGAATAGAGCCACATTGAAATGCATGGGGATGGTTTTGTAATTTCACGTCATTATCGAAAAAAAATTGTACGTATTTCAGGTGGCGGTTTGCAAAACACGATTCCACAAAAATTAACTCAATAGAAAATAATTGCAAAGTTGCTTCTAAAACTACATAAATTTTCAACTTCAATTTTTTTTACGTGGTAGAGCCATGCTACAGCTATATTTATTAGGTATAGTTGTAGCACGAATGGGTCGGCTCGACCGGGGAAGGGCCACGCTCTCACGGAATAACATGTAAAATAGCAGTTTAACCCTGCTGTGTTTCGTATGGTGAGTGTAGATAACCGGAGGACCTTTTTACTGGAAACGAGGAATTACATCTAAGTCCTCACGGGTGACAACGCATCTACATTTTGATACGTAATCGAGGATAGATGTAGATGTGTATGGGCCGTAGCACGGAATATAAAAAACAATACGGAATATAAAATGTTTTTTATATTCCATGGGCCGTAGCAACCACTTACCATCAGGTGGACTGTGTGCTCGTTTGTCACCCTTATTCTATTTAAAAAAAAAACATTCTGAGATTTCAGTAAAATAATGTTAAGTATTGTAAGCACTCCTACAATTATGTCTCATGTTAATAAAGCTTTTGGGCTATTTTGATTTGTAATAAAGTGATTTTACTTTATAGGTTAAATAATTTATTTACCTTTCTATATCAAGAACCGTTTTTCTGTCACTCCTATTGAATTTGACAGAGCTTGCTGAAATTTAGCATCTTTAGATGCATCAGAATCGCCCGCTGATTCGGCTGTTAGATATTGCAAAAATAATCGAAAATATTTATTTTTACTTTCATGCCCAACACTACCTTGTTTTATTTTATTACGGTCAAATAATATTTATAAGGTTATAAAGCAAGTATTTTTGTAAATGTTTTGTATGTAAATGTAAATGTTTTCATTATTTTGTTATTATATTGTTTACAGTTATTATCACGTCTTAGCTTTATACCAAGAATTACATTACAAATTCTTGATGGGATGCGATGTAACGCGCATACATTTTTTTCATCAAGAACTATAATATATATATATATATTTGTTTTTTTTACCAGTAGAGTAAAATAAACAAATAAACTAAATAAAATCTTAAAAAAGTTCTATAAATTAAAAAAATGCCAATAATTATATAATTTCAAGTCAGTGTTTTACATTTAAAGATCAGTTATAAAAAGCCATTGTTATTATTTTCATTTTGATTAATTTAATTCAAGACTAAAATAAATGTGAAAGGGCTTTTATCTGCAATAATAATTTTCATCAAAAATGACATAGACTTATAAAAGTCATATACACGGTCTATCATACTGAATATTATCAATTGTACTACAAAATATTCAAAAGACTATTTACAGTATAATGACCCGAATATCATCATTAATGTTTGACTGGCACACTTAAAAGTTTTATCACATGGCTAAATGATTCACTTCTATATTATGATAAGGTCATGCTTTTCTATAAAAGTTTTCTATAAAGAAATTTTAATTCCCGGCCCTATTGGTTTGTTTTACTTTTTACTTAATTAGTGAAAAAAAATGGACTGATCTAAAAGTTTACTTTCTTGTGTAAAAAGTGCTATTTAGAATTTTATGCAAATGATAATTACAGTTTCTATGTAAATAAGTGTAACATAGCGGGAATTATATTCAATGGTAGCGGCCATCCGTATTTGCAAAGCCAGCATCATTTTTTGTATAGAAACCGGCAAAGTGTTGCTCAAGGTACTATAAACAAAGCAGCTGATAAAATGTTACACTCATAACTGTTAACAAAAACTGTTTCCGCAAATGGTCTTATAGATAATAATAACTATTCCGCCGTGTTAGGTGCAGGAGCTATTATTAGATGGAGAAGAGGTAAAATTTTGTTTTAGAAATGCGCAATCAATATTGTTTTGTCTGCAATTGAGCATAAAATAAAAAATAACTTCAGCCAAAGAGCATAACCGGCATTATACTCAGGCCCATCATTTGGTATGGAAAAAAGTAATTTTACCAGGTTTCAAAATATCAATCAAAATTCAAAAAACATAAATATTAAAATCAAAAAATGTATATATGTATGTCTATACATACATATAATGATTTATGGCCGCTTAGTAACTGACGGTGACTCACTATAACATCCTACAGTCACGCCAAAACTAAGAGGAGAGAATCACTGTAGAAAAGGTAATAATTTATTGCGGAAATTTTGTGATAAAATTAAAAAAAATATAAACTTATCCAAGTTAATCTAACTTAGTCTAATTTATCCTTATGCGTACAAAAAAAACAAATAATAAAATAGTGAGATGGCGTCAGTTTTTAAGAAGATATAACAAAAATAGATAAAAAATAAATTTCAATAAAGTTCAGTATTTAATTGATTATATACCGCTGACACTTAATCACGCTTTTCGAAACCACGTCAGTTGTAAACAATACTTGTGTGAAAAGACAAAATCTTCTTTTCAAATTTCCGCCGAGTTGTAAGTAGAAGGCCAAATAGTTCACGTGTCAATTTTAATTAAATATATTTTATATGAAGTGATCTTGACTACGTTTCATCAATTAACCATTGGTAAAAATTAAAACAGGAATTTTACGATTGTGTTTACAAAAAACATTATTAGTTGAACCTTGCAGCTTGTTCATTATTTTTATTATAAATACCTATAAATGTATATATTATTAATAAATAGTTCCCATAATATATTGTATTATTTTTTATTTTGCCCTATCTGCAATGTTCTATGCTCTATAGAAAATGTGGCGTATGACATGATTGACAATCTTTCGAACGTTTTATCTAGGTACAAAGATGTTTTACGTTTTCGTCGCCTCCACATGATATTTTTGTCAGCATAAGGTACCCTTCTATATCTGAAACGAATATAAATATTGCTACAAAGTAAAGTAATAGGCTATACAAGTCCCTCTACTGGGCACAGGACTCTTTTTTATTTTTGAGAGGGTTTTAGGGCAAGGAAATGCCCGCCGTGCTTCCCCAATGCGTGTTGACGAAAATTGCAATTACAAATTTTATTCGTGCTGTCGGGGATCAAACCCGGGAAAATTTACAGCGAACGCTTTGACGACATATTTTTAATACGACACAAATAAATACGATTTAATATATATAATAAAAATTCTTACGTACTTGAAACTTGAACACTTGATAGCTCGTGATGCCTACCGGACAAAGCTACAGCACAACACCGTGCAATGTAATTGAAGATGCGTAACCGCGACATAATTCTCAGTGATGCGCAAGCATAACAGGTAGTATGTCACTTATATAATTGTCATCTCTGCAGTCTATTAATCTTTGCACTTTTATAAGTAATACAGAACGTAGTTGCTAGACGGTGTTGACATCGGCTAAAATCTCTGCGATCGCCGTTTCGTCAAGGTCATTCAGGCTAGTTAAAGCCTTAATACTTTACTAAAATGTTAATCACTTTGTAGTACATTACATCGTATGTACTTCTTTTATTGAATAAGGGTAACAAAAGAGCACACCTGACAAACTGATAAGTTGATTCTACCAAGCTATTATACATACATAATAAATCGCTTATAAGCTATTTCTAAGTTGTTTTGTGTAGTTAATTGTGTAACATAATATATGATTTTGAAATTCGACAGTCGTGAACACCTAACACAAACACAAGCATTTTAAACTTACCGGGAGTAGTTAAAAAGATTATTAGGAATGTTAATAGTATTTAATAGATTTTTAAATAAACTATTTTAAGTGTCCCGCTAGGGTTTTTCCTGGTTCTTTCCAGAACAGAGGTATTTTCCGAACCATAATAATATAGATTATAAAATCTATATTTAATAAAAAAGTTTCACTTCTATTTCTTTGGCCCATGGACTTCTACATCTATTCTCGATTAAGAATCAAAACACAGATACGTTGTCATCCCTGAGGACTAAGGTGGAATGCCTAGTTTCCAATAAAATGGATCTCTGGATCTACTCTTTTACGCTGGTATTCTGTGAGAGCGCGGTCCTACCCCGGTCGAGCTGACTCAATCGTGCTATAATCACAATTTATTACATATATATATATAGCATACGACGTGTATCTATCATTTTAATATTGTGCCGATATTTTTAGCACTCTTTTATTAGCTCTACCTGTATGTTTCATACGTATGTATGAAAAATAATTTAATAGTTCCATAGCGCTGTATCTAAGCATCTGGTAAGCACAGCAGGGCCGTCGGTTCGAACGCCGAACGGAACAAGAGTTGTATGGCTTACAAATCTATTCCGGGTCTCTATATATCTATCTAATTGTGTCCTTGTGCAATTTTAATATGTGAGAACATCCTATTCTTAAATCGGGGCGGATCACTAGTATTTTTATATTAATAATGATCTAATAATAATCTAATGTTTAAAAACAATTGCTGAGTGTTTTCCACCGGGAAACGATTCCCGCCAGAGTTGTACAATCGCGCCGCAGTTCTCTCTGTCTTCGAATATAAAAAACTTCAAACCCTTTTAGATCATTGCCGTATAGTGGTTTTATAGTATAAAGCACCTCATTGTATGTCACCTCACTTAAAATTACAGTTGAATGAGAGAACTATGTCTAAGGTGTATTGTAATGTGATTTCGTTTTGCTGCGGGTTCTAACTAACGCACGGGGCAAGTTTTATAATGGCATAGGTACAAATAATTGTTTCGCATCTGGTAATCTCAAAATAAATGTTTGTCCACATGCAATTTTGTATATAAAACGCCTGCACGACGACTAAAGCCTGTCGCAATGGCTTCCACGATGTGAACGCAAGAAAGCGAAAGAATATGCTTAACCAACCTTTGAAGTTAGCATCTACACCAACGATATTTCCAGTCGGTTTAACGTAATTCAATAACAAACATTTAAGCTTTTAGATTAACTTTATCGGTGACCGCCCAGTTTCACTTTTAAAAAATCTTAAACTGGTTCCATTAACCTTGAATAAGCATAAATTACTACAGTGATCTTTTCAATTCTGTCCAATAAGATTTCCATCAAACTCAATATAAACAAAAAATGGTTAAACATCGAGAGCCGTTTCCGAACTTAAAATATGGTAATTGGGTATTTAAAATGAAAATAAGTTCAAATTTATACCGTCAAGTGTGTATGACAAATGTATAATAGTATGATAAACCAAAATCAAATATTCACGCCAGTTGGCAGATTCTAGAAAAAGTGAAGTTATTTTTAGGGTTCCGTACCCAAAGGGTAACCAACGGGACCCTATTATTAAGATTCCGCTGTCCGTTCGTCCGTCTGTCTTTCAGCGGGTTGTCTCTCATCTCATGATAGGTAGACAGTTGAAATTTTCACAGAATGTGTATTTCTGTTGCCGCTATAACAAATAATAAAAATAAATAAAAAATTAAAGGGGGTTGACTATTAGACATGCTTTACCTAAACATGTTTTAGGATACGGAACCGTTCATGCGCGAGTCCGACTCGCACTTGGCCGGTTATTTCCTTAAACATGTAGGTTTCCTCACTAGTTCAAAACAATGAATACAATTTGAATACAAAAAGAAAGAACTAGAATCTTTCTTTCTTATTGTGATTTTAAAAAGCCGATGAAGAAAAGTGTGCAAAATCCCGTAGGGATAAAGTCGACGAGATGTAACAGCTATCATGAAATATTTTATATTTACCAAGAGAGGACTGCGAAGAGGAATGAAGCGAGCTCTTGTTGCGGTGAAGCGTGGAAGCGACATGAGGCGGCAGGTTTTGCTCCGCATTTTGTAAGCTATTAGCGCGCTCAACCACGGCCCCTGTCGTCAGCACGGAATCTGATGAACTCTGCAATAAATATATAACTATTGAGGATCGTGACTTTTTTTCATAGAATATGTGTGAAAAACGAGCACACAGTCCACCTGATGGTAAGTAGATGCTGTGGCCCATAGACATCCACATTTAAACTCAATTAAGAATCAAAATACAGATGGGCGGATGGTCCCCTGAGGACTAAGATGGAATGTCTTGTTTCCAGTAAAAAGGGTCTCTGGTTCTCTACACTCACCCATACAAAACACAACAGCATTCGACTGCTACTTTACACTGGTATTCTGTGAGAGCGTGGTCCTGTCCCGGTCGAACCGACTCATTTGTGCTACAACCACAATATATACCACGTACATTTCAATATTTAATACACATCTCTGCAAATAGTACATACGAAATTAATTATATTGAAGTCCCTCAACAATTGGCATTTTCAACCAAAAAAAAAAGTGTAGATTATGGTTAAAAAAAATTGTATAGATTGTCTTACACAAAGCAAACTTAATTCGAATACAAATACGATAAAAATATTATCAATGTTAATAAGGACTAAGATGGAATGTCTCGTTTCCACTAAAAGGTGTCACTGGTTCTCTACACTCACCCATACAAAACATAACAGCATTCGACTGCTACTTTACACTGGTATTCTGTGAGAGCGTGGTCCTGTCCCGGTCGAACCGACTCATTTGTGCTACAACCACAATATATACCACGTACATTTCAATATTTAATACACATCTCTGCAAATAGTACATACGAAATTAATTATATTGAAGTCCCTCAACAATTGGCATTTTCAACCAAAAAAAAAAAGTGTAGATTATGGTTAAAAAAAATTGTATAGATTGTCTTACACAAAGCAAACTTAATTCGAATACAAATACGATAAAAATATTATCAATGTTAATAAGGACTAAGATGGAATGTCTCGTTTCCACTAAAAGGTGTCACTGGTTCTCTACACTCACCCATACAAAACATAACAGCATTCGACTGCTACTTTACACTGGTATTCTGTGAGAGCGTGGTCCTGTCCCGGTCGAACCGACTCATTTGTGCTACAACCACAATATATACCACGTACATTTCAATATTTAATACACATCTCTGCAAATAGTACATACGAAATTAATTATATTGAAGTCCCTCAACAATTGGCATTTTCAACCAAAAAAAAAAGTGTAGATTATGGTTAAAAAAAATTGTATAGATTGTCTTACACAAAGCAAACTTAATTCGAATACAAATACGATAAAAATATTATCAATGTTAATAAGGACTAAGATGGAATGTCTCGTTTCCACTAAAAGGTGTCACTGGTTCTCTACACTCACCCATACAAAACATAACAGCATTCGACTGCTACTTTACACTGGTATTCTGTGAGAGCGTGGTCCTGTCCCGGTCGAACCGACTCATTTGTGCTACAACCACAATATATACCACGTACATTTCAATATTTAATACACATCTCTGCAAATAGTACATACGAAATTAATTATATTGAAGTCCCTCAACAATTGGCATTTTCAACCAAAAAAAAAAGTGTAGATTATGGTTAAAAAAAATTGTATAGATTGTCTTACACAAAGCAAACTTAATTCGAATACAAATACGATAAAAATATTATCAATGTTAATAAGGACTAAGATGGAATGTCTCGTTTCCACTAAAAGGTGTCACTGGTTCTCTACACTCACCCATACAAAACATAACAGCATTCGACTGCTACTTTACACTGGTATTCTGTGAGAGCGTGGTCCTGTCCCGGTCGAACCGACTCATTTGTGCTACAACCACAATATATACCACGTACATTTCAATATTTAATACACATCTCTGCAAATAGTACATACGAAATTAATTATATTGAAGTCCCTCAACAATTGGCATTTTCAACCAAAAAAAAAAGTGTAGATTATGGTTAAAAAAAATTGTATAGATTGTCTTACACAAAGCAAACTTAATTCGAATACAAATACGATAAAAATATTATCAATGTTAATAAGGACTAAGATGGAATGTCTCGTTTCCACTAAAAGGTGTCACTGGTTCTCTACACTCACCCATACAAAACATAACAGCATTCGACTGCTACTTTACACTGTTATTCTGTGAGAGCGTGGTCCTGTCCCGGTCGAACCGACTCATTTGTGCTACAACCACAATATATACCACGTACATTTCAATATTTAATACACATCTCTGCAAATAGTACATACGAAATTAATTATATTGAAGTCCCTCAACAATTGGCATTTTCAACCAAAAAAAAAAGTGTAGATTATGGTTAAAAAAAATTGTATAGATTGTCTTACACAAAGCAAACTTAATTCGAATACAAATACGATAAAAATATTATCAATGTTAATAAGCAACGTATTCTTATCGACGGAACCAGTCCTAAGAATATCACATCCGTATACAAAAGCGTATTCTTAACATCTGTTTAAAAATTTACATTCGACACACTAGTAGTTCGAATTACATTAAATCTACAAATAACTTTTAGTCTGTTAACATGTTCTACATAGTGCGGAGCATAAAATGCTCTTTATTGTCCTTTCACCGCTTGCGATGAAGTTCTATTTGTATAGAAATCTTGTTGTCTATCCGTCATTTCCTCTTTAATATGAATACAGCCGCCAAAGTAAAAACAAAGGTACATTTTTCGGACTCCTATTTCTCGGTAAAATTTTGTCAATATTGTATGTAAAAAGCCTGCGCAAACGAACGATTTGTCCGCGATACGCGAGGAATAAAATTCTGCGAGGCGTGGTTAAAAATCATTTGTTCGCCGGAAGTTAAGCGAAGCACTCGCTATGGAAGCGAATATTCTGAGATTACGCTCAGTTGTTATTTGAATAATAGGAAAAAGAGAAGTCGTTTCCAAAAAAAAAAAAATACCATTCCTATATCCGTTCAACGCGGACAAACATCCGCTGTGTGCGTTGATGCATCTTGCCAAGTTAGTTGTATCATTTCGGTGATTGCTACGCATTTCTGCCTAGATTTTGATAGGTACCACCCTCTTACGTATTTCTGACTCCAAGCATGTACTACTACAATGATTCCACTAAAGGAAAAAATTACAGTGGACTGCGTTTAATTGAAAAAAGCTCTGCATTAAATTTGGTTCACTAGGTGGTAGGACTTCTCTTCTGGTTAGATGCCCGTCTGGATAGATACCACCTGATCAAACAGCAGTGAATGTGCCCCAGTCTATATCCCAGGTATAGGGAGCCAGGATAATTCCAGGAGACATTCATCTTAATTTTCAGAAGTGACAACTCTGTAGCCTTATTTGAAATGGACTTATTATTTGAAATGAAATGGATTTATGTTTGAAGTTAGTTTGGTGATATGGGCTGCAGTAGCTACTTGCTTGAAGATGGACTGTAAGTTCGTTTTTTTCTTTAATTTTGTAAACAAAAATGGCCAAGCACAATATAGAGGAAGGGTTCGGTACTTGTCCGTCACAATACGTGGGCTTACTTGATAATGAGCAATAATCTTGATAAAAAGTTCGCGTTTCAACCGCTATAACTATTAAAAATATGCCTAAATATTAAGATGGTAACTGAAGGACTTATTTTCAAAACAGACTTATAGAGAATGTTAATCAAAAAAGATTTAAAAAACTTTTCGATTTTGTAAAATAATACAATTTAAATCAAGTACAAAGATAATCATATTCGGCTATCTGTTTATATATTCCCGGCAATACAACCCTAATATATACATACATGACCGTAACGAACCTTCACGTAAACCAACACTTCACTGCTCTAAATTATCCTGAGGTCCATCCTACCACAACTGTGACAAACGAAACTGTATGAGGCCATATTATGATTGTATGAATACTTTGAATGATTCCTACAGTAACGTACTAAAAAATAAATGAAAGTAATAAGTAAATAAAAAAGATCCTTCCTGCCTATCCCGCAAATAAAAAAGTAAAGCGTAGTTATGCATATAAGTCATTTTCTTCATAAAATATTTATTTTTTAGAGTTTACAATAACATTACAAAGTTATAATGCAGCTAGTTTCAGATCATTTTCTATCGAGTTGTAACAACATTTTTACTAATCCTAAATCTAAGTGCATTTTAAAGTTGGTCGACTATTAATCGTTTGCTTGTTAATTCTACCAGGCCTATCTCACTCTACGCTTTAGGCATGAAAATATACCTACGCTGCACGGCCGCCTACAAGAGGCTAATTCAGTGAAGTTGTCACGCGCACGCTCGAGTTGACGCGCACCTTACGTTAACAAAAAAGCATTTTTCTCTTATAAGTATTTAGGCACTTTTGACACATGAGTAAATAAACGGAACAGAGATAAAGCTAAAAATTATAAAAAGAAAATTATAAGAGTAAGTAATTTGTAAAGTATTCTATCATACTGAATAATAAAGCTATTTAACCAATGTTTTGTTTAATGTCTTCACCTATTGTGACAACCCTACCAAAATAGGTAACACTTTTGCACGTTCTTAAGAAGCTTTATCTCTGTTCCGTTTATTTACTCATGTGCTTTTGATATTTATTTTTGAGCTTTTATTCAAGTATATATATATTTATTCAATTAGGCTACTCAAAAAAGCTAAAAGGTAGGTACTGCATAGCATACGTGTGCTTAAATAACAATAGAAATGTCGACTTTTCATTCTTTACTGTTCCTAAAGATATCGAAAGCTAAGATATTATTATTTATAGGTAGATCTAGATAATTAGGTACCTAGATACTGACGCCATAGTTACAGATTTATTATTTGATTAGCAATCCGACCGATTTTTTCAATCAATGACCTTTAAAGTTTCAGTGTAAGTAGACCCCACAGTACTAGTGATATCCTACTAATGCAAGATCAGCATATATTGGTTTTTAGAACAATAAATAATAATACATATTTAATTAATTAAACACTTACTTGGTCGATAAAAGAAAGAGATTGAAAATAGAAGCACTTCTCATTGCCAATCCTTTATTAATAATGCTGACGCG